GAATATTCTCTATTCTTTATATTTCAGCACCCCATTATTCTCTATTCTTTATATTTCAGCACCCCATTATTCTCTATTCTTTATATTTCAGCACCCCATTATTCTCTATTCTTTATATTTCAGCACCACATTATTCTCTATTCTTTATATTTCAGCACCCCATTATTCTCTATTCTTTATATTTCAGGGCCAGAATATTCTCTATTCTTTATATTTCAGCACCCCATTATTCTCTATTCTTTATATTTCAGCACCCAATTATTCTCTTATCTTTATATTTCAGCACCCCATTATTCTCTATTCTGTATATTTCAGCATCCCATTATTCTCTATCCTGTATATTTCAGCACCCCATTATTCTCTATTCTTTATATTTCAGGGCCAGAATATTCTCTATTCTTTATATTTCAGCACCCCATTATTCTCTATTCTGTATATTTCAGCATCCCATTATTCTCTATCCTGTATATTTCAGCACCCCATTATTCTCTATTCTTTATATTTCAGCACCCCATTATTCTCTTATCTTTATATTTCAACACCCCATTATTCTCTTATCTTTATATTTCAGCACCTCATTATTCTCTTATCTTTATATTTCAGCACCCCATTATTCTCTCATCTTTATATTTCAGCACCCCATTATTTTCTTATCTTTATATTTCAGCACCCCATTATTCTCTTATCTTGATATTTTTATATTTTAGCACCCAATTATTCTCTTATCTTTATATTTCAGCACCCCATTATTCTCTTATCTTTATATTTCAGCACCCCATTATTCTCTTATCTTTATATTTCAGCACCCCATTATTCTCTTATCTTTATATTTCAGCACCCCATTATTCTCTTATCTTTATATTTCAGCACCCCATTATTTTCTTATCTTTATATTTCAGCACCCCATTATTCTCTTATCTTTATATTTCAGCACCCCATTATTCTCTTATCTTTATATTTCAGCACCCCATTATTCTCTTATCTTTATATTTCAGCACCCCATTATTCTCTTATCTTTATATTTCAGCACCCCATTATTATCTTATCTTTATATTTCAGCATCCCATTATTCTTTATTCTTTATTTCTAGGGACTGTTGTTCTCTGTTCTTTATTTTTCGATCCATGCAGTTTTCTGTAGTCTTGTCCAATTATTATCTATTCTACAACCCCATCCAGAACCTCGCATATGGGTCATTTCCAATCTATGGATATTTTTTATTTTTCATTATAACATAAACATTATCAAACAGCAAATAAAACTTGACTCACTATCTACTATGTAAATAAAGATAAAAAATTCATCCTATAAGGACAAATTGAAATGCAATATATCTCCTTTTACGGAACAAACTCTTTTCTTCAGGTCAGTAAAGCTATGAAGCTCAAATCTAGATGATTTGGTATACATTGTCGGTAGGCAACAAAAACAAGAATCAAATGATACTTCAGCGTTGTGAGGATAATTAACATGCAACGTCCAGTGGTCAATATTACAAGGTTGTTGCAGACGATACAACATTATTATCTTGATATTTTCTATAACATAATCGCATACTTCATATTAAATCATCAGTATAAATAAGAATATGTGGTATGAGTGCTAATGAGACAACTGTCCATCCAAGTCACAATTATTCATACTACATCTTCTTATTTATATCAGTTTTTTTACAATCAACCTTTTTTTTACAAAAGCTGTTTGATAATAAATTACATTTTAATGTTGTGTTTCTGTTGTGTCGTAGTTCTCCTCTTATGTTTGATGTGTTTCCCTCAGTTTTAGTTTGTAACCCGGAATTGTTTTGTTCTCAATCGAGTTATGAATTTCGAACAGCAGTATACTACTGTTGCCTTTATAGGTCAAAGTACGGCCTTCAACACGGACCCTTGGTTTCAATCAGGTTCAGGTGTTAATGCATGTATTTAGTGGACCAAAAAGTTAGTATCTCCTTCTCTCGCTATGGTAGTAAAATCCAAATTTAACTATTACAATGTATATGATTTGGAAAATACCGGTCCGACATGAATGTTTCATTAAATGTCTTGTAGGGGGATAGTATTTCATTATTTTTACAATGGTCAATCGTTTTTCGTATCATTTTACGGTCGAGATAGCACATATGCTTGTATTTGTTACTCGATATCGTAAAGGTTATTTATTTTCGCCTCTTGCCGTGACATGTTATTTATTTTCCATAACGAGCCCATTATTTCAATATAAACAATGTCTTATTGAGAAAAACAAAACAAATAAGCACGTGCAGCAATGGAAAACAATTAAATGTCAATTCACTAACGCTCGACAATATATTTGTTTAAAACACACACACATACGTATTGGAGTAATAACGAAAGAGGGCTCCTATGCTCTGGTACATGTATTATAAATAAGAAGATGTGGTATGACTATGAGTGCCAATGACAAGTCACAATGTATAAAAAGTTAACAATTATAGGTCAAAGTACGGCCTTCAACACGGAGCTCTGACTTACAGCAAGCTATAAAAGACCCCAGATTGACTAGTATAAAACGATTTCAACAGGGAAAAAACGGTTCAAACTATATAAAAACTGACGAGATACGAGAAACATCTATGAACCGCACAAACAAACGACAACAATTGAACATCAGGCTCCTCACTTTGAACAGGTGCAAGGTTATTTTTAACCCGATAAATTCAATTTCATGTCCATTTCATTGAGATAGACAATATCAACAAATACATGTAGATGAGAACATATGAAAATTCCCGATATATATATATATATACATGTACTGTGTACATGTATGTGTGTCACATGCAGAATGTACGTCATATATTAAGCTGTTGTGTAATACGAGATAAAGGAGGTAAACAAATGCATAAATTATAACATAGGTTAAAACTGAACGAATAGCTTACACAGATACAGGATATATTTTTTTTCATGTATGTGCAATGTATTTTTTCACATTGAACCGAAAAATAACTTGATTTGAGTATTGGTTTGAATCTATAATAAACGACTGTCTTCATAAAAACATAAGACGTTTTTTTTTCAGATCTAACACTCTGGCTAATATGAATGCCGGTGGCATTTCTATCAAAACCTAGCTTCATTACATAAAAATCTTATCTGTAACGATTCTTGAAAGCAAGCAAGTACTGATGGTCGGACAGACAGGCGGACGGACCGACAACTTAGTTGCTACCACAGTTTTGAACCATAAATAGTTGTATAAGAATTGTTAAAAAAAAGTCATGTTATGACCCCAGTTGCCTCTTTATCTTTATCTTTAACCGGCTTTTGTTTTGTCCCATTTGTTTCTTCGTCTCTTTTTAGAATATATAACGGAACATCAACTTGGTGTGGTCTTTTGTAATAAATTGTTTATCAAGAATCTTTCATGATTCGAATGCAGTTACGCGATGGTTGTCTAAGTGTATCAAATTGTTTATCAAGAATCTTTCATGATTCGAATGCAGTTACGCGATGGTTGTCTAAGTGTATCAAAGACTGCTTATAGAGTCATAATATACAGTGACGGGTTCCCTACTGGAACAGAATATGTTTAATATCACCATACTGGAGCACATACTGTTCGTCGAGAGACCCGCGGAGGCCCCGCTAAAACCTTCTCCGCGGCTCCTCAATGAAAAATACAATTGCGCAGTGGTTTCTAGTGCATGTATAGCAAAGAAATTAATTTTCTTTCGGGGCATCTGAATTCACTGTCAGTTTTTGTTTCCCACGGATTCTCTGTGGACTGTGTTGATGCTTGCTGTTTTCCTCTTCTTTTTTAATACATGTTTATGGATGTTGTTTTTTAGTATTGAATTTAATATAAGACAAGTCTACAGAAAACCAACAATGGACCGAAGATATATAACAGTTTTTTGTGTGTTGCTTGTTCTATTGGCTACACCTGTTCAAGGTAATATAATTTAGATAAGTAAAAAGGTCATCAATTTCAAATTAAGTAGAAAGGTAATAAAATTAGTTATGTAATCAAAAAGGGCTTTTGACAAACTTCTAGATTAAAACTACAAAACAATCTTTTTACCTTACATCCCCAAATTGAAGAAAAATTTTTAAAAAAATTCAAAAACATTATAAAAAAAAATATATACAAAGATATACAAAAAAATATATATATATTTTTTTTTTTTTTTAAATATATAAAATAAAAATTGAAACCTTCTATGTCACTGTCGGCCTTCAACAAAGGACAAATGCATTTATAATATATATACAATATAACATGTTTTGAGTAACCCAAATATTAAAAAAAAAAACAAGAACCCAACGTAAATATTTCACTACAATATATATAGTGGTAGTTATCAAAAAGTCAAAGCATAAAAGTATTATATTGTCCTCAGAATAATACTTCCACAGTCAAAATGATCAAATGAAGTTTTCTGTCGACTAAACTCCAGAATTGGTATCTCCTGCGTACAGATACAGATACATTTACAATGCGTTTAAAAATACAATCAAAATATGTTATCCGATTGCACACAAGGTCACATTTCATAGTGGTAAGATTAAACGAGTCATTTATTCAACTTATTGACTGACATTTTTATCGAGTCAAGTGAGTTAAAGCTTGATAAAACATATGTCAACCAATAACAGACAATAGGGGCGTATCCAGGATTTTAGGGTAGGCAGGCGACTTAAATTTTTGCGGAGCGGAGCGAGGCGCAAAAATTTGTTTGAGGTAAAATTATCGAAATATTCTTTTTAAGCTGTAGACAAGCCATGCTTGTTTCTTTGTATATAAAATCATAACTACTGAATTGAAAGACGGGACGGACATTACAAATATATTAACCAGATAATCCAAATAAAAAAGGATAAGGAGGACAACATGCTAAATTTGCTTTCTATCTTCAGGACACAGAAACACGTTTAAATTACCTCCAAGTGTCGAAATGAAAAACACACATATTATTTATATATTAATGAGATCATTAACTTTCTATGCTATTTCTAAACACATTATATCAATAGGCAAGGCGAAGACATTAAGCGATGAAAGAAAGAGTTTGATCGAACTTTGGCGTTTAACTTTATCAGAGACATACAGAGAAGCTGTAAGAACAGGTACAGTAACTGTAACCATTGTTGTGTGCATAGGTCATTATATATACCGGTCTGGTATAACCGTTGGTTCTCCTTATCAGAACCTAAATAACTATGGAAAATCTCATTATCCATATTCAAAATTAAAATAACAATACATGTGCATATATGCTTTGGGTAAGCGGTCATCCATAATTGTCAACCATTTTCCAAAGTGTACAAAACGTACACTTGGGGGAAGGGGGTTAAAAATCAACATTTTTACCGTACCGGCTTTTTTTTATTTCCGGAATGCTTGATTGCTTGCTTTCAGTGTAATTTCATGGTATATAATCTGCGTGTAAATGCATCCATCCCATTCATTAAAACCAACAAAACAACAAAATGGTATCTTTATACTCTTTATTCTGACAAAACACAAGCATCACGGATAGATGTCATCAAATAAAACAGTCAGATATGTTTCAGTTTATTTTCAATGCAAATTTCTATATTAAACTAAACTATATTAGACAGGATCTTCTTTTTATTCAGAATGATTGGTTTTTGTCTTGAAATCTGAAAATGGTTGATGTACACATTTTGAGGGAGGGTGGGGGGGTCTGAAAAAGTGTATGTTTTGTACACTTTGGAAAATTGTTGACAATTATGGATGACCCCTAATAAAAAAAATGGTGTTTGATATATTATACTTGAAAACATTTTAAAAAGCATAATTATTGTTGATATTATGTGCTCTTAGATACACTATACATATTAAAGTGACTCAAAATTAAAATCAAAGTTCGTCATATGCACATTTCAAACCTTATCATTCATCGATGACAGTCTGGATGGAGCATGCTTCATTTCTCTATTCTGTATTTTTCTAACAATTATTCTCCGTTCTTTAATATACTTTTTAACCTGTATACTCTATTTTCCTCCTAATTATCTTTTTTTTTAAAACTTTTTTCTGTATTCTTTGGCCTATAAAAAGTCTCTGTTGTGTAACTACCATCAAGATCCTAATCAATGATGCTTGAAAACAACTACCGATATAGGATCATTGTACCTTTAGGTGTCAAGGTAAAAAGTCACATGCACTTTGATATGAAATCAGATAATTAGTTTTCAACGGTTTTTTTTAAACGCAATGTAACTTTTTCTCCATAGGTGATGTTAAGCTAGGAAAAATAAAAGAATTGACCTGGGATGATATTAAGTGTCTAACAAAGAAATATAGAGGATCAGTAGCATTAGGGGCAGGTTCTGTAGCTGCAACACCATTAGTGCTTGGTGCTGCTGGGTTCACCGGAAGTGGCATAGCTGCTGGGTCAATGGCAGCTAGAATGATGGCCTGGTCAGCCGCTGCCAATGGTGGAGGTGTGGCCGCTGGTGGAGTTGTTGCCACACTCCAATCTGCCGGGGCTGCTGGACTAAGCCTTGGTACAAAGACTGTCATTGGTACTAGTGTTGGGGGATTGTATAGTCTACTTGTTAAAGGGTGCTCACAAACTGATGTTGAATGTCTAAAGAAACGAGAGAAAAAAGTTTGAATGTATTGAACTGATTTCTTAATAAACTATGCGTTATGGGCTTTGGCCTCATTGTTGAAGGCTGTACGGTGACCTATAGTTATTAATTTCCCTGTCATTTGGTCTCTTGTGAAGAGTTGTCTCATTGGCGATCATACCACATCTTCTTTTTTATATTTCGTTTTCTTTAAATTGAAGTACCTATTGAAATGTATACACAAAAAAAAACTGCTGAAAAATAACAAGTATCTTATAAGATTTTTAAATGTCTTTTTTAAAACTACATGTTATAAAATCATGAAAAGAAAAGTAGAGGTTAATGGGCAAAATTTTGAATGGTTGATTTTTTTTGAATTTTGGTGTTTTAACGCCACTTTTAAGCACTGCTTTTGGGCTATTTCGTGGCGGCCAGTTTTTATTGGTGGAGGAAGCTGGAGTGCCCGGAGAAAACCACCGACCTTCGATAGGAAAACTGACAATCCTAGTCAATTAAGATTGGAGTCGAGTGCACCCGCACGAGCGGGGTTCGAACTCACAACCACAGTGTTGACTGGCTAGTGATTACAGTAGTAACTACTTAGACCACTCGGCCACCGAGGCCCCAAAAATTTTGAATGGCACTACACGTATAAAACCAGAGGATTATAAATAACTAACCTTAATAATGATTAATATAGGTGTGCTGCCAAGTAAAGATTCCAGAGTAACAAAGTTGAAACAATAGATCATATCATATATTTTTACAAATTACTTATTGCATTAGATTTCAGCATTAAAATCAATTAATTCATAACTAATCAAGATATACTTCATCTTTTTTTAAATTTTTTTTAAGTTATGTTTTATAATTATGATTGTAATTATTTTGTTAATTCTAGGTGCTGTGATTTGGAAATAAAATATCTGTGTGTTTTGATTGTTTTTTTTTTTTTGTATTATGCAAACAAGAACAAGATTAGTTAATGATATTAAAATATGTACAGTATAGCTTACTTATATAAAGCTTGGTACCAAATACAAAGATGCATTGATTTGTACTGTAGTTGCTGAGAAAAATGCTCCAAAAATTTCTTATACCTGCATGAATGTGACAAACAGGAAGTTGATACTGTGGATTCCGTATTATTCACGGGAAACTAATTTTCGTGGATTTCTCAGGTATAGGTAAACCACGAATTTAAATGATCAGCAAAGTATCGGTACACATCTTCTAAAGACTTGTATACAGACCTTGGCAAATCGACAAAAATCAAAAACCCAAGAAAATACAAGTTATCCTCAATCCACATCTACGGTTTTATTTAGGGATTTATGTAGGTTTAGCAATCACCAACGTAGTTTTGACCAGGAAATTCACTCCTAACCACTTTTCTGGAGCTTGGATTTTTCCTCTGGTCGCTGTATCTCGTCTATTAGTCGGTACCCCTCTCTGGATTAGGAATTTTAGTCCCAATTTTCCGACTAATAGGAGAGTTCCTACGGTAAATTGTTATCCACGAAAATAAATGAATCCACAGTAGGTGACAGATCTTAGAATGTTTCATATTGTATAGCTTAGAGTTGGGTGTTGCTCAGGGTTTAGTTTTCTATGTTGTGTTTTGTATACTGTTGTTTTGTCTTTAGATTGATTTTCTTCATTTTATGCCATGGCATTGTCAGTCATTCTTTGTATTATGAGATTGAATGTCCCTTTAGTATCTTTCTATTCCCTTTTACCAATTTCAAGGATTTGTATAGTGAGATGAACAAGAGATAAAATTTAGATGCAGATAATTTGTATTGTAATGATATAAACTGTTTTTTGAATCAGAGCTGTCATAAACTTACACTTTAAAGTTTCACATCATATAATTTTGTGGTTTTTTATGCTTACAAAATGCTGAGTTAAACAACTTCAACTTGCAATGGTGGACGCATAACGATAAATGAAATGCATCACGGTAAATCTTGCAAAATCTTAGCATACGTAGCTTATTTCAATACAGGCTATGCAAACTGTCGACAAGACTCCAATCCTTCTCACTATACATTCCTTGTCAATAATAATTGATATAATTATAATGAATGATATTCTTCAAATATAAAAAGCCTGGTGGAAAATAACACAAGAATGAGTCTGAGGACACAAATGTCCCAGCTCAAGCTTTGCAATTTTTCAAGTTAAAAAGGGGCATAACTCTAGAACGGTATGAGACTCACTGCCCAAATTCGAACTCTGTCTGCCTGTTGTGTTTCTTAGTGTTGTGTATGAGTTTCATAAAATTTAGATGAGACAAACTTAACTCAGAGTGGGGAAACTGAAAAATTTGCAATTTTCCAAGTTAAGAAGAGGCATAACTCTAGAAAGGTAAATGACTGACTGTCCAAATTCAAACTCTGACTGCGAATTTTGGTTCTTAGCATTGTGTATGAGTTTCATAAAATTTGGATGAGGAAGTCGCACGGACAGAAGGACGGTCAAGTGTAAGGTTTAATGCCCCTGTATCATTGCCTACGGCAGGGGCATTGCAGGATTTCTTTTGGCAGATAAAACAAAATATACTTCTGTGTTTTAATAGCTTAATTTATTTTTAGCTTGGGAATAGAATAAGTCCCATGATTTTTAAGACATACAAAAACTTATATTAAAACAGTACAAATTTCACAAGAATAATTTATGTATTAGCTACTTATACACACAAGCAGGACATAACAATCACATGATCAACATTTATGGTCACATGACAAGAAAAATGATCACATGATGGTTATACGACCAAATCTCTCTCACACAAATAAATAACTATCTTTTACATTTTTTTGTGTTCCAAATGCATTTTAATGTTATTTTCTATTGTGACAACTTGTGCCTAACAGAAAAAAAAGGAATTTCTTTAAATGCAGATGATAATTGAAGTCTTTCTGTGGATTCTTGAAAAATTAATGAGAAGTTGACACTTGATTGGTTCATGATTTTTGAAAATCAATTCAAACGAAATCAGCCTGGTGCTTGGTTTTAATAAACTGAAATCTATGTTAACTGGTGTCATACAACTGAGTTTTTTTTTTAAATCGAAATGCATATCTATAAAAACTCGGGTACCCCAAATTACTAATATTTCAATATGTTTTTTGTCAAATTAAAACAGATTTTTTATTTCTAAGCCATTGGATAATCAGGATACTGTAGCTATTTTCTTTTATTGTAGTTGTATGTTATAATTGATCCACAATTGAAAAAAGATTGCATTTTATTTTAGTGAAAAAAAAGGGACTGTTTCAAAACATTGAGATTAATTTTTTCTATGAAATGAATACATTGTTAAACTCGTAACTTGTTCATCAGGTAATACATCGACTCTATTATGAAAGAGAAGAATTTCAATTTATCTATTTTCAGTTTTTTCTTTGACTTTCTAGAAATGGTAGAAGGATTAAAGTTACAAATCCTTGATTTTTTCTACAAATATTTGTTTCCTATTTCAAATAAATTCTGAATGCATTGAATAGTATTAGTGTGAATACTTTAACGATCTTGACTTTTTCATCAGTGTTTTTTTTTATGTTTAGTAATGAAAATATTTATTCTTAAACTATAACTTTCATTAGTGATTTAACTCATAATAAGAAATTTTCTCTTTTACATGTATTTGTTTCTATTCTATAACAATCAAATAATAGGAACACAGATTTAATGATTATTATTTTGATTTCATTAGTTTTTTAGTGGACATGGTCAAAACCACTTAAAATCAACATCTTGAAACAGTCCCTATAAATTATTAAACAATAAGACTAATGTATAAAAAATATTGCACATCAATTTTTATCATGCTCATATTCACATATGCACACTTGAATACACAAATCGCTTATGCACACTCATCACACATACATTGTACACAAATAAGAAATGACCTATGTACAAAAATATTACACAGCACTTTTAAAAAGAATAGCTTTGCTACACATCAATGTTTACTTTATACAAATATTTACTGAAATATTTACTTACATACATAAATACATTTGTAAAAACCAAGAAAAACCAAGAAAAACAATGATGTAAATTTGGGGACAAGATAGTTTAGAACAGTGGGGGGTGATGTTAACATGTTTTTTCAATACCTCAATAATTTAAACAATTTTTCAACATTTCGGTTTCAAAATTTTAATACATATGAAAATTAATAATTTTATACGTCCAAAATACTTTTCTTGATTTAATACCATCATCAGGAAAGCTCATACAAAATTTTGAAAGCCAAGGATGTATAAATACTAAAATCTTTGAAGAGTTATATGAATAAAGTGAACCTAAAAAAGCTCAGTTGAATATTAAATAAAATGTTAAGCTCAGATGTATGTTATTTAAATCAAGCCCAGATAATGCATAATACTGGGTACCATATAAAGTCCTCGTTTGAAAATAAAAGTATGGATGTTAGTAACAGCTTTTAGAGAAAATGGTTAATATATGCAATAATTGACATATCAATTTCTTAAGGAAATCACACAGCTTTTCTACAATATTCCCAATATCAAAACTGTAAAACAATTTCATTTTTGTAAAGGGGCATTAGCTGTCAAATTTATGTTCACCGATTTGACTCAAATTATCATATTTGATTTATAACCTATCCCATCTCTACAGGTCAAAAAGAAGGTCACATGAATACGGATTCAATGAGGTCAAATTATTCACTTGCAAGTGAATAATTCATCAGCGATGTTTCTTAGCTTATTTTGAGAAAACTGAACCAAACTGGCTGCTATTAGCGAATTATTATTTCACTATTTCACTTTCCTTAATGATTGAACGAAAAAATCATATTTTATTTATCTTTTATATCTTCACTTTCCTTAATGATTGAACAAAAATCATATTTTATCTATTTTTCATATCTCATAGCTAATGCCCCTTTAAAAAATTTTCTTTTTTCAAACAAACTTAGTAAAAAGATATTCAAATATTAACACAAACTTCATAAAGTAATGTACTGTAAATAACAAATGCAATCTGTTTCGGTTATAAAATAAATAATATAAAAAATGTCATGGTACAAATTTCTAGAATACAATTTGCAAAAGTTGACCATTTACTTGGTTTTTGTGAAGATTTTTAAACTACCCCTGATAATTCTATGGACAATTGAATATAGGTTAAGCACAAGTGAAGGGGAAACCTTAATCTAGACCAAACTTTTCAGGTGACCTTGTATGATAAAGGAGAAGGTCCGGTAAGGGCTAGTTTTGGCCTAAAATTCGAAGTACATCTGATGAAAGAATTTTGACATTTTTTAAACAATTAAGTGTCTACTTCAGTCAATTCAATCAGTATATGTAAAAGGTTTTAACTGATATGGTCATTAGATGCTCAAACTCAAAAAAATCTATCTATCAAATATGCCATAAAACGTCACTTTTCAGATGGTTTTTGTCTAAAATGTAAGTGGCAGCATCGTGTTCAGTCTGAACCTTTGTATATTTTATACTAAAATTGTGAAGATTTCAGTAATTTTGCATGAAGTTAAGATGCTTGTACCTGATGCATGTGCATCGTATTGTCAAAAACAGCCCATATTTTGGAAAAAGGTATTCTACTTTCCAATAAATGGCCAAAAGTTTCAACAAATTGGTAAAAATGCTATATTTTGGGTCCAAAAAGGGGTCTTCCCGGGCCTACTCCTTTCTGAAAGACAATATACTGTATTATTTGAGGTCTTCAAGAACGCAAAAACAAGAGATTTTGTTGTTCTATATGTTTTATTATACACACCTCAAAAATGAAGTTAAATTTTATGTTTGTTTGTTTATCACATTTTTATGTTTTGTTAATACAAATTTCTGTTAATTTAGGATAAATTGAATATTTGTTGATACTTGGTTTCATGTTTTTAACAAAATATTTATACAAGCCTAGAGAGAATTTGTTTTTTGTTGAATACTTAACTTGTGTGGTTCACCTTTATCCACCATTATTAGTAACCAAAGAATTATAAATCCCAAATAAAATATGGTCTTTTATATATTGTTATTATTCAACCAAAACAGTTTTCGATTGGACTTCCTATTCAAAGGTATGAGAGGTCTTTTTCGAACATAAATGGGTCAAGGACATTGGACCCAGACAAATTTAGGACCTCATCTTTATTGTATAATATTATTATCTTCTTCCCTGTTAGTATTTTCCAAATCTGAACAAGTTTATATAAGTTTTAAAAAAATAAAAACGAAAAAAAGAAATTCAAAAAATAGCATTACCTTATTATACATAAGTTTTAACAAATTATACACAAAACAAAAACAAATATATTAAACTAAAGCACTATTTCTGTGTGGATAACAAAACTCAGTAAACATATTATAAAATTCTTGGTTTTATTTTTGGGTTAATACATAATAGCTTCATCGTTGAAAAGCAGTAAACTGAATAACAACTGTATTGGTTAGTACAGATTAGATATCTTTTATACATACTCTTTCTCTTTTCTTCACAAATGAAGATAACTTTTCATTCCTGTGATGTATGAAAAAATAATGTTTTACTCGCGACAAACTTTTTTCAAAACTTTTTTTTTTTTTTTATATAAACTCAGCATTATTGATTCTTATGAACTGGTTTGCAGTACTAATTTCTTGTCAAAAAGAAGTTTCAAAAGTTACAAGAAAATAAAGCAAAAACAAAATGCCCAAATTCTTAACAATACTGTTTCTTGAAATTATATTCTATCACGAATTTGTCATAACCTTCAGACTGTACACAATTCTTACATACTGGCCTCTTACACGTACATGTATTCTGATTACTAAAATTCCATAATCATTATTCATCAGTGTACCAATCCTCTTCAACAGAATACAAATGTAAGGTTTAAAATCAGAATGGCAATAAAATCTTTATAAGATATCCTAAACTATCTGTTTTAACATTTCTATATCATTTTCCTATTATCTAAAATCTGCCTACGCATGCAAACTAAATTACATTTGATAACAATGATCAGGGAATGATAACATTTAGGTGGGATTGCATTGCAATATTTTCCTAACAGGAAGTATGACAAAGGGAATTAACTCTCATCACACCTGCAAAGTTAATACAGAAATAATATGCTGAACTTCAGATCTACTATATTGAAGAATGGGATGTTTTTTTAAAGACTTTGTGTATTTGAAATACACTGTGCAGAAACTATAGCCAGAATTCTTTTTCTTTAAGCTTTCTGTGTTCTGCACGCTTTTAATGACAGCTAGCATGTTTGTAAGCTTCAACATAAGAGACTAATCAACCATAACGAACAAAGTGCAAGACGGGTGAAATCTTGTATGTTAATGATGATTTCTTCGTAATGTTATATATAATAGGTGACAAAGATGGTGTCATTACATATTATAGGCGACATAGATGGGGTCCAGTTGGTCAGCGAGGAAACCGTCACGTAGATGCATTCGTTGTTTCTCTCCTCGGGAGTTGATGGGTATGACACCGGGATCAACAACAACAACAACACCAACTATTAGATAATGTTCTTCTAATGTCACATTTGTAACCAAGGGAACAAGGTCAAGAGCCTCATTTTCATGTCCTTCCAGCTCCACTACAACCACTAATAGATTAGTCCATGTAAACACAGCACTGAAAATAAAATATCGCATACAATACAAAATTCTTTCTCATACAGATTGTTAATTTTTACACAAATTTTCTTTGGTATTTTGGCATGTAAAATTTTCTTAATGAACCTTTTAAACTTATTAACAAATGTTTACTTGCACTGAGCAACAAGACATGTGCCACATGTGGAGTAGGATTTGCTTACACTTCTGGAACACCTGAAATCACCTCTGGTTAGAATTTAGGCTCATGTTGCTCAGCCTTAAATTTTTATGGAGTGTTTTGTGACCTAGTTTATAATTGTCATGGTATTGTCAGTTCCTATTTTCTTTGTTTTATGATTTGTTTGTCTCTTTGGTGTTTTCTATTTCATTTTTTAGAGTAAAATATTTTGAGTTATGTGTGGAAATGACAAAAATTTTAGGTGGGGTTCATAAGTTTAGTTCCTTTAATTTCTGTGTGGTGATTGGTTTCATTTTCTTTCCACTTTGTCTTTCTTCCACTTACCGTTTTTGATTGCCCTGTTGATACAGCGAACTATTTGTTCATACAGCATTTTAAAGAGGTAGAGGTGAATAAGTTATATATATTGGAACATTCAAATACGAAATAAAAGCTGAATTTGGGTCTGTTTTGTCTGGTTTTTATGTCAACTCAATTTTCAAAAAGTTACGGACTTTGCATAGAGATTTTTTTTAAACCCAAAATAAGTTAACAGGTGTATTGATATTCGGAATTGCATAAGGTCGATTTCTATCCAACGCAGTTCATATATTTAGTTATGGTAAATCTTACCATTCACAGATTTTCCTATGAGAACGTAGAACACTGGTTTCTATATCTATGGGATGGTATCTCATTCCTCTCAACATCACAGTCTCATCTAATGATCCAACAACAAAAATAGCATCATGGCGACCTGAAAAATAATTGTTTATCTTTAATAATGTGGATAGGTTTCTTCATATCTTTTTATTTTTAATTCTACAAAATGCTGGCTGTTTCTTCTTTAAATAGATTTTCCAGCTACTTTTCAGAATTGATTTAATAAAGGGCTCTCAAAGTGACCTCATCTTAACTTTTTTCAAATTAATTTGAAAACATCAGCATTTTTCCACTAAAAAACAAATCAACATTTTTGCCTAGTCCCATTATGCAGTCTTTCAGTAGTCTGTATCCCTTCTCCTCTCCTACATATAAAGATCCTGGTTTGCAAATAAATGAAGAATGTGTCTATGGGACACAGATGCCCCCGCTTGTAAAAAAGCATGAGTCAACTTCCACATACAGATGCAGGATTCACTTAGTTTAGACCGTTTCGTGACTATAAGCATAAGTTTCATAACATTTGGTTGAGGCAAACTAAAGTTAGAGAACGGAAACGACAGATTTAGCAATTTTTCCATTTATAAAGGGGTATGACTGAAGAACAGTGAAAGTGACACCACCCAATTTCAAACTTGATCTGTGTTTTGTGGTAATAAGCATTGTGTATAAGTTTCATAACATTAGGTTGAGGCAAACTAAAGTTAGATAACGGAAACGAAAAATTTAGCAATCAGGACGGACAGACGGGACGGACAAGGGTAACACTTAATGCCCCCTACTGACACGTCGGACGGACGGGACAGACAAAGGTAACACTTAATGCCCCCTACTGACAGGACGGATGGACGGGATAAACAAGGGTAACACTTAATGCCCCCTTCTGACAGGAAGGACAAGGGTAACACTTAATGCCCCCTCTAAGCAACTTGACATTGTTTTATAGCAATCCATTGTACAGGTAACACCGAACTGGTATAATAGTAATCTTTGCTATCAGTGTATTTACCTCCATCACTTTGTGTCAGATCTGTTCTGCGGACAAATCCCAAATAACCCGTCCTGGCATAGGATGTATGGATATCTCCTGTAGCTAAACGGGAATCGAAATGGTCACCATGAAGGGAATCATCACCATAGATACTGGAATATCCTGCTGCATTATGGGGGCTGTGCACCCAGATCTGAAAACAAATTTGTTTACAATAATTTTAGATTTTATCTGATACTTCCAGAGTTTGAATAAAATGACCTTGTTAAAACATGTCAGGTCACCTGTACTCTGAAAATTATATTCAGTCATTTAAATGATACAACTTTGATATGTGTTTAATTAGGGCTATTCCATTAAAATGTATGTGGGAGGGTAGGAAGGGACTTTCAAAATAACCCTACAACCAAGAACCATTTTTAGATAATTTTGCATAATGGTAATAGATGCATACTGAAAAAAGACCCATGACCCACTTTCAATAATTAAACTTCCCTTCCTACCCTCCCACATACATTTTAATGGAATAGCCCTTATTTAAAGATGAGATATATTAACATTTGAAATGAGACAAGTCCATATGCAGGAAACACAAATAATATTGTGATATTTTTACATATCCCCCTACTCCACAAAAAATTGTTCCTCAGTTTCCTTTCATGATCTCATTCAAGTTTTAAAAAAAAAGTTTCCTTGAATGTTGTTCCCAATACCTGATGGTACTACACAAGTATCAATAAGGAATAGAAGGTGTTTGTTCATGGGGTATAATAAGATAGAATCTTACCTCTCCTAAATGTGAATCTGCACACTGTCCTTTTGTATCCGGGTTAGCTATCACAACTTTTACTCCAGGCAGAAGCTAAAACAGAAAAAGAAATTTATGTACAAGTGAAAATACTTTTAAGAATGTGTATTTTTCTTCAGTTTAAGGTTTAAATGAAACAAAAAATTCAGCAATTTTTCCATTTGTACAGGGGCATAACTCTAGAACAGCAAAAGTGATGCCACCAAAGTTCAAACTTGATCTGTGTCTTGTGGTAATAAGCATTGTGTATAAGTTTAATAACATTTGGTTGAGGAAAACTAAAGTTAAAGAACGGAAACCAATTTTGGGACGTACGGACGGACGTACGTACAGACGGACAAGCGTAAAACTTAATGCCCCCTCCGCCACGGCGGGGGCATAAAAAATACTGTTTTCAAGTTAAGATATCCATTCTCTGCAAAAAGTATGCTACCTTGTTCTTTATAGTTCTGAAACTGTAAGAAGATTGGAAATTGAAACTGACCTTAATCAGGAAATAAATGGAGAATGTGTCCATGGGACACAGATGATGCCCCCACTTGCATATAACGTTATAAAGGGACATAACTCAAGAACGGTAAAAGTGACACCACCCAAACTCGAACTTGATCAGAGTTTTGTGGTAATAAGCATTAAGGGTTGAGCGCTCACAAACATGTTTAACCATTCCATATTCTTTGTGTGCCTGTCCCCAGACAGGAGCCTGTAGTTCAGTGGTTGCCGTTGGTTCATGTCTGTCTTTTCATAAATTGTTTTGTTATAAATTAGGCCTTTAGTTTTCTCAATTGAATTGTTTCATGTTTTTCGTGTTGTGGCCTTTCATAGCCAACTATACGATATGGGTATTTCTCATTGTTAAAGTCCAGACAGTTGCCTATAATTGCTTACATCCACTTCATTTGAACTTTGGTGGATAGTTGTTTCATTGGCAATCATACCACATCTCCTTATTTCTATACTGTCTATACGTTTCATAACATTTAGCGAGGCAAACTAAAGTTAGAGAACGGAAACCAATTTCAGGATGTACGTACAGACAGACAGGGGTAACCCTTAATGCCCCCTTCTCTGCAACAGGAGCATGAAAATGGTAGGAAACACAATGATGATCAGAAACATTTGACAGCTATAAAACTAAAAGAGGCCTAACTTTTTCCAAAGGGAGATTTGCTACAGAACAATCTCACAGAGTTCTCATAATATCTTAATAACCTAAATAGTTGAATAATTATTTAAGAAATGAATACCCTTGCCTTGTTAGAACTGAAACAATCTTGCCTCAGACAGGACAGGATGAAAATTAGTATTCTGCCCCACAAAATGCATGAACTAGTTGTGTACAAAATAGAAAATAAATAAAGCTACTTACAAGCCAACAGAAGAAAATGAATATTCAGTCTGTACATATCCTGCCCACCAGCCCACAAAAAAAATCAAATGGTTGCCCCCTAATACAAACCTTGCCAGACTCCATTACACAAAGACTATGAGGACTTCCTTTCTCCACCAAAGTAACTCTATCGTTCCTGAGGGCTCTCATATCTACATATACTGTGGTACAATTAGGACATGATGCTCCCTGTAACAACAAGATTCACAGTAAATGAAAAGTTTTATTTAATTAACTGAAGTATGTTGGTAATTCCTTAAAGGGGCATTAGCTGTCAAATTCATGTTCACCAATTTGACTCAAATTCTCATATTTGATTTATAACATACTAAAACGTATATCCAAATTACAATAAGTCTGAAATAAACAATTAACAATGCATGGACGCAATAATATAAATTAGTATTTCGTGTGTATTTTAGTCTAGACGCCATCTAATTAATCATCGAGATGACCTCCAAAGAATGCTGACAGTCACATAACCCAATATAAACATAAACATAAATATAAATAGATAGCAACCTCGTGCAATTGGACTTTTCTAGGTCTGTTTGGTTTCATGTTATCAGTTAAAAAAATAAGTTTATCATCGTTTTTACCTGTATAAGAATGATTTTTTGGGGATCGAATCAGTCAACGAAATGATTCATCCTTGTTTCACTTTCAATGTTGACATTCTCTTCCTTTTAAAGGCTGAACATGACGAATACATGCGTAACCAATCTCTAGCTAAGGGGTTAAATTGAAGGTCACATGAATATGGATTCAATGAGGTCGAGTGAATAATTCATCAGCCATGTTTCTTAGCTTATTTTGACAAAAATGAACTAAACTGGATGCTAAAAGCGAATTATTATTTCACTATTTCACTTTCATTAATGATTGAATTTCACTTTCATTAATGATTGAACAAAAAAAAAATATTATTTCAATTTTTTTATATCTCATAGCTAATGCCCCTTTCAGGTTCTTAAATATGGAGATTTATAATAATTAATAACTTGGAAATTCATGTACTTTGTTGATTGATTGTTTATAAATTAAATTTCGAGTGGCAAATTTGGATTTGGCTTTTCTTTTTCTGGCATCTTTGGGTCAAATAGCTCTTCATATGTTCAGGTACTCATACATATTTAGCTTTCAAATCTTGGGCTTGAGTGTTCCTGATGAAGTTAAACTAGATAAGCACTTTGGACGAACCAACTTTTCAAAGTGTTTATCTTCCTTTTAAGGGTGAGAACACATTAACAATATATCCATTGGTACAGTCTGAAAAGTGGATGAATCAGGAAAAATTGGTAGATAATTCGAATGCTACTGTAAAACAATGACTTTCTGCCAGACATAAGGGCAAATGTCCAAATAATTGTTCACAAGGCTCTTCAATATAACACCTGCAGCATTTTCTGACCTATCTCGTTTTTCAGATTAGATATGAAGTTCATTGATACATTAACCACAGCCAAACAAAAGCCTCATTAATACATGGGTGCTATTGCCAGACCAATGACTCAAGGTTCCAATATTTTCGTGTTATTGCCAGACCAATGACTCCAGGTTCCAATATTTTCATGTTATTGCCAGACCAATGACTCCAGGTTCCAATATTTTCGTGTTATTGCCAGACCAATGACTCCAGGTTCCAATATTTTCGTGTTATTGCCAGACCAATGACTCCACATTCCAATATTTTCATGTTATTGCCAGACCAATGACTCCAGGTTCCAATATTTTCGAGTTATTGCCAGACCAATGACTCCAGGTTCCAATATTTTCGAGTTATTGCCAGACCAATGACTCCAGGTTCCAATATTTCTGCGTTATTGCCAGACCAATGACTCCAGGTTCCAATATTTTTGTGTTATTGCCAGACCAATGACTCCAGGTTCCAATATTTTCGAGTTATTGCCAGACCAATGACTCCAGGTTCCAATATTTTCGAATTATTGCCAGACCAATGACTCCAGGATCCAATATTTTCGAGTTATTGCCAGACCAATGACTCCATGTTCCAATATTTTCGAGTTATTGCCAGATCAATGACTCCAGGTTCCAATATTTCTGTGTTATTGCCAGACCAATGACTCCAGGTTCCAATATTTTTGTGTTATTGCCAGACCAATGACTCCAGGTTCCAATATTTTCGAGTTATTGCCAGACCAATGACTCCAGGTTCCAATACTTTCGAGTTATTGCCAGACCAATGACACCAGGTTCCAATATTTTCGTGTCATTGCCAGACCAATGACTCCAGGTTCCAATATTTTCGTGTTATTGCCAGACCAATGACTCCAGGTTCTAATATTTTCAAAGGCCTAAACTTTATCAACTACTTTGGTGGTATGTACAACTATTTATAGAATAAAATTGAGAATGGAAATGGGGAATATGTCAACGAGACAACAACCCGACCAAAGAACAGATAACAGCCGAAGGCCACCAATGGGTCTTCAATGCAGCGAGAAAATCCCACACCCGGAGGTGGTCCTCAGCTGGTACCTAAATAAAATTGTGTACTAGTACAGTGAAAATGAACGTCACACTAAACTCTAAAATACTTACTTGTAAGCACATGCCTAAGTTTACCCTACAACCAAAACTTGTACTGACAGCTCTCAGAGAAAGACCAAGATTGGCAAATAACTTTGTGAAAGATGTGGTCAACTGGATCCTTGGACGTTCCTCTGATATCACACAACAGGTACGAACACATGATAAATTGACACCACGAGCCTGAAAGGTCAAAAGAGATAAAGATTTAAAATTATCTATTATTATAGAATTTCCTTGATACAATGTTATTCAACTTGTTCCTATGGTATCTGCAATACCTTTACCTTTATTTTGGTATCTTTAATATCTATATTTTGTTATCTTTGGTACTTATATTTCGGTATCTTCAATGCTTATATTTTGGTATTTTCAATACATATATATATCTTGGTATCTTCAATACACATATTTGGATATCTTTAATACATATATTTTGGTATCTTCAATACATATATTTTAGTATCTTCAATACATATATTTTAGTATCTTCTATATCTCTAGTTTGGTATCTGCAATACCTATATTAAACAGCCTGGTACTTTTTCAAATATTATTTCTATTGTGTTTTTTATAAACCTATGTAATCTCACTAGTTGAAAAACAAGTGGGAGATCTTAGAACAAGTTTTTAACCAAACCACAGAATGTGCCAGCTGTCCCCCATCAGGAGCCCTATCTTTGTTTATATTTAAGTGTTTTTCAGGATTTAAGGTGGTACCCAACACCTTGACTAATATTAATTTGGCTCTTTTAATTTTCATAAAATTTTGACAAAATGTTTACTTTGACCCTTTGACAAAAATATAAAAATTTCAAAAAATTTGAACCAACCACTTTATCAGAAAAATTTCATTGGTTATATAGCAGTTTGACAAGCACTTATTTTGATCATTGAGAAGCTTAATATTTCCTTAACAATACAACGTAATTAAAACGTTTAGCTGATTTTAACAGAGTTATCTCCCTGTAGTGTTAATAGGTACCACCTTAAGTGTTTTTCAGGATTTAAAGAATTTTGTGTTCCAAGTAGATCCACGGTTGTCTCTACCAAATGTGTTTGTTTTATCATGGCTATAGAATGACTCTGAGGTTTAACTGGTGGAGGTAGCCAGAGTGTTTGGAGAGAACCAGTGACCTACAGCATGTGAAAAATGGCAATCCTTGTAAAAAAAAAAATGGCAATCCTTGTAAAAAAAAATAAAAATGGCAATCCTTGTAAAAAAAAAAAAAAGGCAATCCTTGTAAAAAAAAAAAATGGCAATCCTTAAAAAAAATGGCAATCCTTGTAAAAAAAAAAAATATGGCAAAATGGCAATCCTTGTAAAAAAAGACCAGGTACAAACAACCTCAGAGCTGACAATCTGTAGTGGGTCTCATTGGGGTCTAAGCGTGATGCGGGATTGCCGATTTTTTGTAAGCGTGACACGTGAAAGTCAAATTATTGTGCCGTGAAAACGGGAAATGAAGTCCAACGGGACACGAGAAATTACAAAAAAATGAGAATTGCTTACGTACATAGTACGGGAATCTGACAAAACAGTAAGCGGGATCCGGGATCAGAACCCCCCAATGAGACCCCCTCTGTAGATGTGAAATAAAATCTTAAATTGCTGCTATTCTCTGTGGTTGATTCAAAAGGGGGCATAGAGGGCATGTCACCTCCCCTTTTCATCATAAAATTTTATTTTGGTTAAAATTCATAGTAAAAAATTATTTTCCTCATTACACTCTGCTGTATATTTCCCATGCTTTACAATTACTCCCCTCATTCCTCTGACACTGCACCTCCCCCCTCCTGATTATGCATTTAAAAATATATTTTTTTAAAACATGATAAATCTCACCTTTAATGTGGCTGTAGATGTTCCTAATCCTCTGGTGCACAACTCCATCACACCATATGAACAAAATGTATCACGAACTAGACAAAAAAAAGTATTATTTCTCAATTTTTTCATGTATTATGAAAAAGTAAAATAACAAAAACACCAAACTCCAAGAAAAATTTAAACGAAAAGTTCTTTATTAAATGGCGAAATTAAAAGCTCCAACACATCTAACGAATGGAAAATAACTGTCATATTCCTGACTTGGTACAGGCATTTCCTTATGTAGAAAATGGTGGATTAAACCTGGTTTTATCGCTAGCTAAACCTTTCACTTTTATGACAGTCGCATAGAATTTCATTTTATTGACAACAATGTGTGAGCAAAACAAACAGACATAATATGATTTAAAATAATGTTGAACGAATTAAAATAACTAGTACATTCGGCACCATTATCTTTTAATGAAGATGTCAATTACGGTTGAGGAAATTCACAACTAATACTAAAATGTATTCATCTTATATGATGTAGGCATCTATCCCAGAGAATAAAGATGACTTCTCAAAGTATTTTTTGTTCATCCTATGTTGTAAGGTTGCTGTACAACAATATTTACATGTTTACCTTTATAATTACTAACAGCAGTCAGCCACACGGCTGGATTTGTTTCTACTTCTGACGGAGCTATCAGTATGGAATGATGACCTGAATATATACTGTAACAGAATAAACAGACAGTTATTAGAATTTATTTAAGAAATGATTTGATTTTTTGATTTTTGGTGTTTAACGCCACTTTTAAGCATCGCTTTTGGGCTATTTCGTGGCGGCCAGTTTTTATTGGTGGAGGAAGCTGGAGTACCCGGAGAAAACCACCGACCTTCGATAGGAAAACTGACAATCCTAGTCAATTAAGATTGGAGTCGAGTGCACCCGCACGAGCGGGGTTCGAACTCACAACCTCAGTGTTGACTGGCTAGTGATTACAGTAGTAACTACTTAGACCACTCGGCCACCGAGGCCCCCTTTAAGAAATGAATGCTTCTTTTTGTAATTTCATTGGGGTGTAAAAAGTGTTGACCAAAGCACATTTTGTCATTCTAAAAATGTGTGCACGATCAACACTTTTACACCTCAATAAAATTACAAAAAAAAATTTCATTTCTTATAATTATATTTTTATGCTAATAAGACCATGAAAAAAAGTTTTATCATTTTTTTCTTTTATTTATCTGTGCACTTTTTTGTTGAAGCACGTGTCATCACGAATGTAACATTTCATTTTGATATGAAGGTTAGGTTCTCGTGAAACATACATGTTCAGTAGTTGTCGTTTGTTGATGTGGTTCATAAGTGTTTCTCGTTTCTCGTTTTTTATATAGATTAGACCTTTGGTTTTCCCGTTTGAATGGTTTTACACTAGTAATTTTTGGGGCCCTTTATAGCTTACTGTTCGGTGTGAGCCAAGGCTCCGTGTTGAAGACCGTACTTAGACCTATAATGGTTTACTTTTATAAATTTTGACTTGGATGTAGAGTTGTCTCATTGGCACTCATACCACATCTTCTTATATCTATGTAATGTATTTATTTATTCATTAGAGGCAACATATTGTTATCGAACTTGCATGGGTGCTTTTCATTAGATGTGAAATGACAAATGATGTCTGATTTATTGAAACATTGTAAAAACAAAATTAATCCACAATAAGGAACAGGATTATAAACATGCTAATTCACTAGTTAACAGTCTGCACGAAAACATGTGTTACATATTTGTTATTCGTTCATTTTCTGTACATAAATTAGACCGTTTGTTTTCTCGTTTGAATTGTTTTACATTGTCATTTCGGGGCCTTTTATAGCTGACTATGTGGTATTGGCTTTGCTCATTGTTGAAGGCCATACGGTGACCTATAGTTGTTAATTTCTGTGTCATTTGGTCTCTTGTAGAGAGTTGTCTCATTGGCAATCATACCACATCTTCTTTTTTACAACACCCTACCAGACACATTTTCCTGACCTCGAGCTGACCATTCTTTGCTCTTACTTCTACTCTTAAATGTCACAATCTAAACATATAAGTAGCAATTACCCATTTTCATTACTTTGGTTTTACCTGATCAGGTATCAAATTCCGACCTCCCGAACCTGAGGCGAGCACACTACCATCAGACTACCAAGATATTTATCATAATACATCCTACCAAACATATATTCAACCAATGGCATTTTATTTTTTAATTTTGAATACAAACATTGAAATTACCCATAATCCTTTTAGATTGTCAATACTTACCTAGTGAGACACCATAAGACAAAACCTAATCCACAATATGGATCTAAACACAGAGTTACGTCCCTTGAAGAGTACTTACCTAGTGAGACACCATAAAACAAAACCTAATCCACAATATGGATCTAAACACAGAGTTACGTCCCTTGAAGGGTAAAATTCACATTGAAGTTTGATTGCTCTGCAAAGGGCAGTTGCAGCAGCATGAGACATCTACAAAGAAAAAAATATTTTATCAATAATACAATAGCATGGCTACTTTTTTTTAATTTGTTTTAATCTTTTTGTGGGTTCACTTTCCTAATCAAGCTACTCAACAGAGACTCAGTACAGCAGAAAGAACATGATCACATTATAGGCAATCGTCATTGACCTTGAACTAATGTCATTTGTTACTTAATGCATTGTTCCGTCACAAGTTTATTTTTGAAATTCAATTGTTGACTTAGCTGTTCTATAAATTTACACTAAATATTTCTGATTTGCCATAATTCTGCTTTTCCCCTTTGATTCCTGGTAATTTCTGTATTTAGGAGAAATAAATAAGTGAAACTGTGAGCTACTGCTAACTGATGATACCCCCAGCCCAAATACTTGGACGGTAAACAGGAAGTTGTCGAGTGATCAATCTGAAAACGCATCACACAGTATAGCCGACTTAAATTTCAGAAATCCTTGTATTGTAGTTCCTGATAAAAATGCGACGAAAAATTTTCATGGGACCGATGGACGGATGGATGGATGGACGGACAGATGGACGGACGGACGGACGGACGGACAGACAGAGGTAAAACAGTATACCCCACTTTTTTAAATCAGGGGTATAAAGATCCAGTTGTTCCTTACCTTAACACCTGCTAACATCCCAGTAGTAGAAACACTAAAGTCCAGATAACAAATCATTTCTGGAGTAGGTGCTCGGTAAACCACTTGTATTTTTTTCTTGGTTAAATCATCTGTGTCTATAAATGAAGGCCATGACTTTGGTTCCACTATAGATGTTGCTTCCTGTAAGTGAAAACAAATTATTGTGTTTACCGTTTAAACCATCATATAAGGGCTATTCCAGGAAAATTTGTAAGAAGGGGGGTTGGGAGGGACTCAATTTTAATAATATATGGGTAATGGGGTCAAGGCATTTAAATCAAAATTGTATATGGGTGGTGAAACTTGAAATAACCAACCCCCCCTTGTTATTCATTTTTCTGGAATAGCACTAACATTAATTAAAATGTTTATGCACCCTTTTTGTATTAAATCAACATACAGAGCTTGCTGATTTTTTACATATCAGCTCACTATATATAGCTAGGTAACAATGTATAGGAAGACAAAATATCCAACCTGGACATATCTTTGATTTTGCAAAATGCATTTAGTTCTGACATAGTTTTCTTTTGTTGTAAATAGGGGCTTTGGTGGCCGAGTGGTCTAAGTAGTCAAACTACTGTATCACTAGCCAGTCAACACTGAGGTTGTGAGTTCAAATCCCACACGGGGCATGTGCACTCGACTCCAATCTTAATTGACCATGATTGTCAGTTTTCCTACCGAAGGTCGTGGTTCTCTCTAAGCACTTCGGCTTCCTCCACCAATAAAAACTGACCGCCACGAAATAGCACAATAGATTTGAAAGTGGCGTTCAACACCAATCAATCAATCAATCATATTGTTGTAAATTGTTGTAAATTGAGTTACAGTTATTTCCCTTGGTTGCCATATTGCTTGGGTGAATTGGTTGATCATATTTGAGAACTTTACACATGAGGTACAAGCAAGTTAGAAAACAAATTCTTATTAGATCGTGGTGACGAATCAAACAAGCCATAAACAAATTAAAATTGATCTATAAACAACTTTTTCTAAAGATAAGCATTTAGTATACAAATAGAAGAAATTGTTTTGATTTTAAAAAAAAAGGAATTTCTGCACATTGCCCTTCAATATGCTGACAAAGAGAAACACTTCTAACTTAAAATATGTCAATTCAAAACTGTCTATGCTGTGGAAATACTTCACAGGTATCAATGTCCATGGATTAACATTTTTGGTTTTAAGATTAAAACATTCTAACTACATGGAAAGTTTGTTGTTTGTTGGGTACTTTAGGTTGTTGTTGGAAAGAACCTAGAAATCTACAAAAATTGATACACCACAGACAATAATACTTTCATATTGTCTCCATGTTGCTCAGTCCTTAGCTTTCTGTGTAGTGTTTTGTCGACTGTCATGTCTTTTCATTGTTATTCATTTTTCCCTCGGCATAGTCACTTTCTATATGACTTATGAGTTTTGAATGTCGCTTAGGTAACTTCTGTCTCTTTTATTTATAAATGAAAATAAACAGCAGGCATACCCCATAAGAATTCTGAATCAAATCAACATTATTATAAAGATAAAGGTCAATGTCACATGGTACTAAAACTGTAAATTTGTTAATTTTGACAAAGTAATTTTAACTATAAACAAGTGAAACTGTGAGCTACTGCTCACTGATGATACCACTGCCCAAATACTTGACGGTAAACAGGAAGTTATTGAGTGATGAATCTGAAAACGCATCAATGGTATAGCTGACTTGTATAAACCCTGAAACCAAATTTCAGAAATCCTTGTAGTGTATTTCCTGAGAAAGATGCGACGAAAAATATTCATGGGATGGACGGACTGACGGAAGGATGGAAGGACGGACAGATGGATGGACAGACAGACAGACAGACAGAGGTAAAACAGTATACCCCCACTTTTTTAAAACGGGGGTATAATTAATCAAATTAATAGAAGTATTGATGTGGAAGAAAACAGACTAGTTAAAGTGTAACAGATATAAAACAACCACTGGAAGAATTCCAGGTTCTCCTTATAGAGGAGGGATTAACAGATTGGAACAGGTAACTGAAGAAATATACAAACCTTTGATTTCATCAGCTTCAGTACCATAGAACTGGTTAATATAGCTGATGCTTTGCTGACTTCAACTATCATTTTAACTGTTGGTAATGTTGTGGCAATATTCTGTGGGTGGGGCGGTCGTATCGTCACGGGAACACAACCCACATATAAACAACCATAGAAAGCTGCTATTAATTCTATCCCTAAAAAACACATCACATTCTGACAATTACTATGCAAGAAAAAATAATAATATTATCATTAAGGTGGTACCCAACACCTTGACTAATATTAATTTGGCTCGTTTAATTTTCATAAAATTTTGACAAAATGTTTACTTTGACCCTTTGTCAAAAATATAAAAATTTCAAAAAATTTGAACCAACCACTTTATCAGAAAAATTTCACTGGTTATATAGCAGTTTGACAAACACTAATTTTGATCATTGAGAAGCTTAATATTTCCTTAACAATACAACGTAATTAAAACGTTTAGCTGATTTTTACAGAGTTATCTCCCTGTAGTGTTAGGTACCACCTTATTAAGTAAGTTTTAAGTTTGTTCTTAAAATATATGTAGTAACGTTTTCATGGCTTGTCTTTTCTTCAGCATGTTCAGTATTATTGGTACTTAGTTATATCTCAGTGTTTATTTGTCCTTTAAGGAATTTGTTGTTGATGACAGATCATTAAATCTATTCAAAACTTCCCTCGACTACTTGTAATTTAGAGCTTAATGTACTGTATAGATACTTGTTTGCTGTTGTAAACAATACATTGACCTCTATATGTTCTTTTGGATTTCTCGTGTCATTGGGTTGAAGTCTCATTGTTATTCAGTTTGAGATGGCCATCAACTGATAACGCTTACCTTTAGTAATTGAGATTATTACATATTTTCAGAATAGTTGTTTGAGATGATCCCTTATCTAAATCACAGTTGTCTAAGATGGTTCCTTTCTTTAAGTTTACTTAGTACTTAGTCCAGCAAAACGATCTCCTGTCTTAAGGATGTTTGCTACTCTGTTTCAAAATAACAAGCTTTTTAAAAGACTGTTTTAAATTGAAAGTTTGTAAATAAAGGAACTAAAAAAGCAGAAAAAAATTAAGGGTCCGTGTGCTTGTTTTCGAGTAATAAGCCATTGAAAATTTGGCGGGAAATGATTCTCTCTAGATTTTTCATACATTTAACATTGTCATCTTTTTTCTTTCAAAAACAATGAAAAAATAACAAGGATTTTATAAGATTTTCAAATATGGCTTTTTAAACTATATGTTATAAAATTATGAAAAGAAAAGTAGGGGTTAGCGGGCAAATTTTTTAATGGCACTACATGGATAAAACCAGAGGATTCCGAATATCTGGCAAAAATTCAAAAACAAGAGGAGAGAACATCCTTTAGTCTACCTTTCTCCCTTACATGAATTATATTAGTTTGAGATGGCCCCTTACCTGGAGAGTAAATCAGAGCAACATGATCTCCAGTATTCAGTCTCCCTTTTTCCATTAACATACAACCTATTCTTTCTGCTCTCTTATGTAACTGTGAACAAGTCATTTGTAACTGAGGCTGAATCTGCAAGTAAAATAACATATGATATAACGAATAAGAAGAATTTATCCATTGTTGGTAACTTAACATCACGTGAAAAATATTGCATGCATATTATAGAAAGCAACAAATCAAAATGATAATCAACGGGTACATTAAAAAAAGAGGGTGAAACAGGAAATCGTAGAGTTTTGAATCCCACTTGAAAAACAATGGTATAGTTAGAATCAACAGTTGTGTTTTATAAAATAAGAACAGATTTCAACATTTAAATATCAGTTTAGTCGAAATGTGCATCTGGTGCAAACAAATTGGTATTGTTAATGTCTTTAGAGCTGTCATAAGCTTGTCAAGTTTAAAATAATGTAAAAGGTCATATATTTTCTGATCCAAACACTAAGACCCAATATTTCTCCCCTTCAATTATAAACTCTTCTTTCTATCACTGAAACTCTTGATGTGCAGAGATACTAACATCCCTAGTAACCAGGAAATTCCCCAGTTTGACTGAACATTGTTGCACACAGAAAATAATTTTAACCCTATATATTGACCCCCAAACGGAGAAAACAGGTTTTTTCGTAATTCTTTTGTAATGCATTATATGTCCACAGAAAACATGCCATTAAGATCTGAACAGAGACAAAGGTTAAACACATATACATATTTGAAAAAGAAGAAATGAAAAAATTTTCAATCCTATCCTCAACAGAGTTTTGTTCAGTTACACTGCATTTAAAAATAGCATCGAGAGTTCACTATCTGAATTGTAAATCTTTGCATGTAGTATCCTGATTCACTCCACAATTTCCTGTCAGCAACAGAATCTTGTTATTAAGGATGAACTTAGGTGAAATTAAAAAAAATCTAGAATTTAAAATTGATGCTATAAGTCAAAAGAGCATTAGTTGAGGAACAAAATAAGCTAAAAATATTGATATGGAGCTCCTTTTCGAGATACTTAATTTTTAAAAAAATGGCGGGAAAAGGCTTACTCAGACTTTTACCTTATATTTGCATTGGTATTATTTGGGTCTCAAACTGAAAGAAAAGAAATCTAGAATCTGCTAAAATTTTGGTAAATGACCTTTTATGAGCTATTGAAGTCTTATATGAAAAGAAAAATGGGTGTTATGGGGCAAAATATTTTACCCTGTATCGTAGGAAAAAAAACCAAGGAGTCCGTACATCTGACAAAAATTCCAAAACCTAACCTAAGTACATCCTTAAATCTTACTGTGGATTATTATTACTTGGGTATCAATTTTCGTGAATTTCGTGAATAAAGATGAACCACAAATTTAAAGTTAAAAAATAAATCAATTTCTCATAGGATTGTATGCTAACTTTGGCAAACCATGAAATCCAGTATCAGAAAAAATATATTTTTTCTAACATCAACAAAATTTGGTACCCTGGAAAAATAAAAGAACCCTCAGTTTGTTAATCTTTAATCAGATAATGAACTTCCAATGGTATTTTTAAATGTGTTGTAATAATAGATTATCTATAGTTCTGAAAATTAGAGGAAGTTTCTCAGCTACAATATCATCTAAGTTTGAAAGACCTTTGTGAATGATTTTGAGAAAAACATCAATTTAGTAGACAAGGGATTATGGTGTACTCTTTCTAAATATAAAATCATTCAGATTATATTATACCATTACATGACATACATTTCATACATTCAGAGGGCATAATTTGACATTTCTTGAATTCTTGGTAATTCTTTGAAATTATAAATTGAAACAATGTTTAATTTAAAAATTGAAATCTAGTCAAATAGTTGGGAGGCACTCAAATTAATTAATTGCAGGGTGGTTGCATTTTCAATAGAATTTTGAAAAATTATGTGTTAAATGACAATTTTATATAATGAATGGTTGGGTCTAAAAAAGGTGACTCCCATGCCTTCAGACCTGCCAACTAACACGATTTATGGGGGATTTCCCACATAAGGGGTGTTGACATGAATTTTAAAGTTCTTTATCATATTAACTGAACACTTCAAAACAGGCATTCAAATGAGTGAAAAGGGTATTTAAGCACATATATACTGATTCAAACAATATAGTAATAGATTAAAAACACTTATGACAATAAAAGAGGAGCATTATGTACTCTTGCAATTAAAATCCCCCATGGAAATTTTGAAAAGTTGACAGGTATGTGCCTTTAATTCTGGAACAGCTCTTGTTTCGATTACTGAAGAATTTGTCAGTCAAAAAAATATCAAATTATGCCATAACTGTATAGATTACCAACATGCTCTGAGCAGCCTTATATCTACATGAATTGCTACATTTGTTTTCTTTCCTTGTATGTAACTCTGATATATATATTATATTATTTGTTTACATTGTGTTAGTAGGTCATTACCTGGTAAGGCCATTTCCCTTGAATCTGATAGAAACATAGTATATGTAGCATACAAACAAATATTACAAGTCAAAATCTTGGTCACTAAAATGTTTTTGTAAACTATAAAAAGTCCTACACACTAGATTTTCAAAGTGATTTAGATTTTTTAGGAAATATGGCAAACAAAATAAAATCTTTTTTATGAATCTTTATTATCTTTCCTCAGTTTTGATTTTAAAATCAAACAAACTACATGTAGTTACATTATTTTAGAAGGTAAAAATTCCCCTGCAAAAAAAAGAAGCCACAAAAAATTTTTAGCTGTAAGAAAGTTGTAAATAAAGATTTCCAAGATTTCTGCAGTTCTGACATTGATTTTTTTATCTACCACACTACTCCCTCCGATAACGACATTTTTTCAATGGAGATAGTTAAATTTTAAATTTGTGAGTCATACTGAGCATTTTCAAATTAGCAAATGTATCTATCAACAAGAGAGTCTTAAATTACAATTATCCTGTTATTTAGTTCTTTCTTGTCTCACAAAAAGGCTATCAAACTTATCTGAATTGTGTCCGTGCCTTGTTTTCAAATATTTATACCATTGTACACCAAATGAACACATAAACATTCAGTTTCAAAAATAATAATAAATATTAAAATCACAAATACATTAACAACAACTTTCTCTTGGTAAAAATACAAATAAATTATAAGAAACTGAGATTTTATTTGTTTTGGTGATCAAAGTTGGGGGAGGAGGGATACGGCTTCTATGCCCCTGGATCCAACACTGCTGCTGGACATTGTCAAATGTTACAGTGACACCGTGACTGATTTTCAATGTCCAAGCAAAAAAATAACTCTTCAACTTAAATCAACATTAATATTTGTAAATAATTTAAAAATAATATATAAAAGACAAAAATGCATTTGAACTGAGCATTGTAAATAAAGCACACATACATACACAATACACATACTTTGTAAATACATTAACAAGCACAATACATACCACAACACAAATCACTGTAAATAATTCAAATATAAACACACATAACACACATATCAATGCCTTTAAATAAAAAATATAAAACTGTAAATTATACACAAATGAATAGGCCAACTACACTTACCTTAGAATTGAGCATCGTAAATAATATATGATCAGGTGTGGACTGTGACCTCCATCGTAAAATCTCTGTTAAAAACTGGTGCTGTAAATCAAGTAGATGAAAATAAATTAAAATATTCAAATGCAGGACTGAATAATAAATTTTGGATTTTATCTTGGATATCTTTTATTTTTGTAGATGACTTGGATGATTAGAATTTTTCTTGCTGTTTTTTTCACATTAAGCAAGTTTTAGCTGACTCCTTGACGATTTATTTTTGTGGATTTTTAGATAATGTAACAATATAGAAGATTCTAAATTGTCATATTCATGCAATTATTTTACTCTTGAAAGTTATGAAAAAATAAATGGCTCACAAAAATTAGTTGGTTTGCATTTATTGATTGTCCAGTGAAATTTTGTTCTGACCATTAAATAATAATTATCAACATGACCTGAATTTCTATCAAACCATTCATCACTTTGGCAAACTCTGTAGTTTAATTTTTTTTCAAAATGACAATGCATTTTTTTACATTAGCAAAAAAAAAGTTCTTATTACAGACAGTTGGACTCCTTCTTTGACATATGAGCTGCCTCAGATAGAAATCGACCTTATGCAAGTGCACGTATACATGTTTATTTTAAAGACTTTGATTGATTTTGGAAGACTCAAATTCGAAATAAAAGAAAAAATTTCGTCTAGTTTTGTAGGGTTCTTATGACAATTCAATTCTAAAACAGTTCCAGGCTTTCCATAGAGATTTTTTCAACCTAAAATAAGTTAACAGATGTATTGATATTCATTTGCATAAGGTCAATTTCTATCCAACACAGCTCATATGTTGCAGCAAAGAATAAAAACAGAAAATCATGAAAAAAATGAGTCCAAGGAGAAAATCAAACAAGATTTATTAAATTCAGTAACTATTCGACTGCATTGCAATTGTTGTTCAACAAACAAATTCTTTACCAATGCAATTTCAGGGAAAACTTAATACAAACAGAATTCCAATTAATGTGGTACATAACACTACAGGGAGATAACTCTGTAAAATTCAGCTGAACGTTTCAATCTGTTAAGGAAATATTAAGCTTCACGATGATCAAAATTAGTGTTTGTCAAATTGCTATATATCCAATGAAATTTGAAATATGATAAAGTGTGTGGTTCAAGTTTTTTGAAGTTTTATATTTTTGTAAAAGGGTCAAAGTAAATGTTTTGTCAAAATTTTATGAAAATTAAACGAGCCAAATTAATTTTAGTCAAGGTGTTTGGTACCACCTTAATGCAATTCTAATCCCCAAATATTAATTGTAAATATAAAAACATTGTAAAATTTCTGATTTTAAAATAACTCTCAACCTTTAAACATTCGAGTAAAAATGTCCCTAATATGATCAGTTCCTTTATAGAATATTGAAGGACTTTCCAATATGCCTCAATTACCTTTTTAGCATTATCTGTCTCTTCGTCTGAAGATGTAAGTTCTCTCCCTTGAGCCCACGCCATCCTTGCCCCCTGTACAATGTTACCAACATGGACTGCTGAGGGCGTCACATCTGGAAGAAAACATTATAATTGTATAAAAATTTATACTTCAATACAGGTCTAGCTGGAAATATTTTCTTCATCCATTGTATGATACGTGGATTCATAATTATTAGTTGGATACCAATTTTCGTGGGTTTCGTGGGTACAGGTGAACCACGAATTCAAATGTTCAACGAATTACATATTTAATATAGACTTTGTATGCACAGATTGGCAAACCACGAAATCAAATATCCACGAAAATGCAAAGAATCCTCAATCCACGAAAATAAATGAATCCACAGTAGTACCTTTTCACGGTTTCATTTTTTTTTTCTAAGGTTTTGAACATATTTGAATAATCTTAAGAATTTTTCTTATTTTCCTGGTTGCATGGTAATAAACATAAGAAGATCTGGTATAATACTGCCAATGAGACAACTATCCACCAAAGAAAAAATGACATAGTATTGGCATCTTTAGGTCACTGTATGGCCTTCAACAATGAGTAAAACCTATGCAAAACAGCCATGACATGACAAAATGTAAAATCAGGCTGTTGGTATGAATTTTTTAGCCTTTTTATTATTATTGAAGGTCGCACAGTGACCTATAGATGTTTACAACCACTTCCATTGGTCTCTGGTGGAATGTTGTCTTACACCACATTTCCTTTAAAAAAAATATGCATATAATTTGATTTAATAAAAGCACAAACCTGGTTTGAATTCTCTTGGTTTTGGTAGATTTGTAACACATGTATGAGGACACATGAGCACATTTGCAGGATGTAAGCTTCCTTCTAAAAATCTTTTCTTTGTTTCATGTAAATGTATACCACCCAGTGGAGTCTGTAAAGATAAAAGATCAAGGTCATTTTTTCTATTCTAACACATTTCTGTCTATCAAGGTTTTTGTCGAGCCTGCGACTGCCTCATGTTACAAAGTTTCCGTCAGTCACATGTCCAATGTCCTTGAACTCATTTTCATGGTTCAGTGACTACTTGAAAAAAAAGTTAAGATTTTTTTGTAATGTTAAATTCTCTCTTATTATAAGTAATAGGATAACTATATATATAATATAGATACCTATAATAGGTCTAGTATATTCGGTGTATGGAAGGACTGTAAGGTGTACATGTCCAACTGGCAGGTGTCATCTGACCTTGACCTCATTTTCATGGTTCAGTGGTTACAGTTAAGTTTTTGTGTTTTGGTCTTTTTTTCTAATACTATATGCAATAGTTCAACTATATTTGGTGTATGGAAATATTTTATGATCTATTTGTCAGTCACGCAGGTTTTATTTGACCTTGACCTCATTTTCAAGGTTCATTGCTCAGTGTTAAGTTTTTGTGTTTTGGTCTGTTTTTCTTAAACTATAAGCAATAGGTCAACTATATTTGTTGTATGGAAGAATTGTTAGCTGTACATGCCTGCCTAGCATGGTTCATCTGACCTTGACCTCATTTTCATGGTTCAGTGGTCAATGTTTAGTTTACTTGGTTAATGTTAAGTTTATGTGACAGTTGTAATAAAGCTTTATATTTAGGACTATCAACATAATATCAATGATTAGTAAAGAAGGCGAGACATTTCAGCGTGTGCACTCTTTTTAACTTTACTGCTGTAATAAAATTTTTATACTTTAGACAAATTTGAAGCACACTTTTTAAGTGTCCATTTATGCTCAGTTATAAAATCCTGATATTGATTGGTGCCAGCTGATTGTTATCAAAATAGGTAAATCCTGAGGTTGTTCCGAATAATTACTTGACAATTTTTATTGACTAGGAATTAATGCATTTATGTATCCATCATAGAGCTGGGGATATAGTAACTGAATTATTTGGTTGTGGTTTAAACCACTGATAGAACCAATAGCTTTCATCATTTAATGAAAGCATTCTACCACAAGACCCCTGAAAAACTTCCATCATTCAAGAAATGCATTCTTCAAGACCCCTGGAAAGGTCTTCATTGTCTTAGATTGTGAGATACCGTCATCATTTTGGTACAAAGTGTATAATCTATAGTTTTACCTACCTTTGGTAAATAATTGTGAGGGACTAGAGACAAACAAAACCCCAACTTGATGTATACTAACTACGGCCTGTAAAACTGGACTGTTGTAACCTACCTTTGGTAAATAATTGTGAGGGACTAGAGACAAACAAAACCCCAACTTGATGTATACTATCTACAGCTTGTAAAACTAGACTGTTGTACATACCTTTGGCAAATAATTGTGAGGGACTAGAGACAAACAAAAGACCCCAACTTGATGTATACTATCTACGGCTTGTAAAACTCTACTCATCCATTGGAAACTCTGAAAAAATTTATAATGTTTAAATCAAAAGAAATACAAAAGAAAGTATAAAATGAATTAATGCTAGACACTTAATTATTTCACAAATTTGTTGGATTATCAGAATTAGATAAACAATGTATTATCATTAATAACTCTATAGAATCTGTATAAAATAAGTTGATCGGAAGTGAAAATTCTTGTATTATAATCCTAATTTACAAGTGATAGGTAAAAAATCATGTCTATAAAAATTAATAAAACATGAAAAAGAACAACATTCTAGAGGCCATTGTTTATCTTAATTTTTTTGGGGGGGTAAGGTAGGGGGGGGGGGGGCAACTTTCTTACTAGAATTTCCAGATTTAATAGATGAAAGTATGAAAGTTGGCACTGCAAAGTCACATGTGGAAAAGAATATGCTTACCCTTCTGGAGCACCTGAGATCACCCCTAGTTTTTGGTGGGGGTTCGTGTTGCTCAGTCTTTACTTTTCTATGATGTGTTTTGTGTACTGTTGTTTTCTTTTTTCTTTTTTTGCCTTGACATTGTTAGTTTATTTTCGTCTTATGAGATAGGTATTGTTTGCCTCTCTTTTTCATGTACAGATGGTGTTGTACCAAATTCCTTATGTTTACATGTTCTAATAAAATGCTCCGCAGGGCGCAGCTTGATACGACCGCAGAGGTCGAACCCTGAACAGTTGGGGCAAGTATGGACACAACATTCAAGCTTGATACAGCTCTGAATTTGGATTGTGATTAAATATTTGACACAGCATAGGTTTCTGACACAGAATGAATGTGGTCTAAGAACTTAAAAATTTTAAATTGAACATTCACCTATTATGGTCCAATATCCAAAATCTAAATACATGGTTAGATTCAGCATATCAAAGAACCCCAAGAATTCAATTTTTGATGAAATCAAACAAAGTTTAATTTTGGACCCTTTTGACCTCAATGTGGACAAAGTTGATAATGGGGCCCAAAAATCAAAAATCTAAATACATGGTTAGATTCAGCATATCAAAGAACCCCATATATTCAATTTTTGTTGAAATCAAACAAAGTTTAATTTTGGACCCCGATTTGGACCAACTTGAAAACTGGGCCCATAATCAAAAATCTAAATACATGTTTAGATTCAGCATATCAAAGAACCCTAAGAATTCAATTTTTGTTAAAATCAAACTAAGTTTAATTTTGGACCCTTTGGACCTTAATGTAGACCAATTTGAAAACCGAACCAAAAATTAAGAATCTAAATACATGGTTAGATTCGGCATATCAAAGAACCCCAATAATTCAATTTTTGATGAAATCAAACAAAGTTTAATTTTGGACCCTTTGGACCTCAATGTGGACCAATTTAAAAACGGGGCCCAAAATCGAAAAAACTAAATACACGGTTAGATTCAGCATATTAAAGAACCCCAAGAATTCAAGAATAAAACCCCATTGAAATTGGTCAAGAAATAAGCAATTTATACGAAGTATATTCTTTTGCACAATACTGTGCAATTAAATATTTCTTGCTATTGCGCAATACTGTACAATTGACAATTTCTTGCTATTGCGCAATATTGTGCTATTGGATATTTCTTGCTATTGCGCAATACTGTGCAATTGAAGATTTCTTGCTGTTGCACAATACTGTGCAATTGAAGATTTCTTGCTATTGTGCAATACTGTGCAATTGAAAATTTCTTGCTATTGCACAATACTTATTATATAATAATTTACACATCCTGTTTGGTGTGTATCTCCTACCATATCATTATTATTTGCTTTTAAATATAAATCAGAAATAACCAACTTAAAATGGAAAATTTTAAAAGAAAAAAAAAAGAAAAAAAAGGAAAAAAAAAAATATCCCCTCCCCCAAATTTTTTGAACCCCCTTATGATTCATCACCCACAAACTCAATCCCAGCCTTCCCTTTGTGGTATGGTACCTTGCAGTACAATTTCAGAGAGATCCATACACTTGAACACAAGTTATTGTCTGGAAACTAGAAAAATGTGTTTTTTGGCCCCTTTTTGGCCCCAAATTCCTACACGTTTAAGGCAATTACCCCCAAACTCAAACCCAGCTTTCCCTTTGTGATATGGAACCTTGTAGTACAATTTCAGAAAGATCCATACACTTACACACAAGTTATTGTCCTGAAACTAGAAAAATGCTTGTTTTTTGCCCCTAATTCCTAAAATATTGAGGCAATTACCCCCATCATCAATCCCAGCCTTCCCTATGTGGTATGGTACCTTGCAGTACAATTTCAGAGAGATCCATACACTTGAACACAAGTTATTGTCTGGAAACTAGAAAAATGCTTATTTTTGGCCCCTTTTTGGCCCCGAATTCCTAAACGTTTCGGCAATTACCCCCAGTCTCAATTCCATCTTTCCCTTTGTGATATGGAACCTTGTAGTACAATTTCAGAAAGATCCATACACTTACACACAAGTTATTGTCATGAAACTAGAAAAATGCTTGTTTTTTGCCCCTTTTTTGGCCCCTAATTCCTAAAATTTTGAAGCAATTACCCCCTAAATCAATCCCAGCATTCCTTTGCTGATATGGAACCATGTGGTACAATGTCAGAGAGATCCATACACTAACACATAAGTTATGTCTGGAAGTTACAAAAATGCTTATTTTTGGCCCCTTTTTGGCCCCTAATTCCTTTACTGTTGGTACCATAACCCCCAAAATCAATCCCAACCTTCCTTTCGTGGTATTGAACCTTGTGGTAAAATTTCATAGAGATCCATTCACTTAAACTAAAGTTAGAGTGCGAAAACCAATGTGTCTTCGGACGACGCCGACAACGACGACGACGACAATAACGTCATACCAATATACAACCACAAAAATTTTTTTGCGGTCGTATAAAAACTCAACCAAGAACTAAGTTCAAAGTTAAAAGTTATCAATGTTACATACAAAAAACAGACAATAATGGTCAGTGAAAAAACTATATCTAAATCTATCAAAGTTACTCGTTCAACAATGGACAAAACCAGACAACTCATATTTATACCTCTTCCTCTGAACAGTCAGGTCTCTGTTCTGCCACGATCACAATTCGCTCATCTTTAAGTACATTGATTGAAAACACAGCAATTCGTCCACGGTAAATAAATTTCATTGGTTCTACTGCCAATACTGTTGCTATTATATCGTCTGTATTATGCCGTCGCCCTGATACCTGCATCAGACCTTCTTTACTACCACAAACAAATACTAAACCACCCTGAAATTAGAAAACAATTTATCAAAATTTGACAAAAACATTATTCAGCATATTGTTCTATATATATATGATCATTTATCTTTAAAATATTTCTTAAATTTGACAAGTCACTTTTCCTTTCGTCATAACAGTTGAACCTAATATACAAAGGAAAAAATTATCTAAGCTTCTGAATTCAATGTTTTAAAATAAATCTATGGTGAGATTTAAGCTGGTAGAAGAGGCCTGCGTAGGGTGGGCAGGTGGAAAAAGACAAAATCTACACGAGCTGTGGTGTACATGATTAAGGGACAAAAATTAGTAATGAAGAAATTTGTGATATCCCAATGTTATATTACTGTCAACTTACCGGTCCTAGGAATCCTAACAACCCTGTCCGTACATATAATTTGTCTCCTATAGGTCGTCCATCATTGTTTAGAGGCTGTATCTATAATAAAGAATATAAAAAATTTGCAGCACATGTTGTAAATTGTTTAAATCTTATCACGAACTAAGATAAAGCTGCAAATATTTAAAGAGATAACATAAGGGCTATTCTCAATTAAAATGTATGTGGGAGGGTAGGAAGGGACTTTCAAAATATCCCTACAACCAAGAACCATATTTTAGATAATTTTGCATAATGGTAACAAGACACATACTGAAAAAAGACCCATGACCCACATTCAATAATTAAACTTCCCTTCTTACCCTCCCACATACATTTTAATGGAATAGCCCTAAGAAATAATAACATTTTAAAAGAAGTAAATTTTTTGCCTAGCATGGACTTCAAACATGGTCAAGATCATTAAATTAACAATTTGGGTTAGTTTCTGTTCCACATGCACACATAGTTTTGATTGGTAAATCTCTTGCTTGTATCAAGTATATAATTAATGGTTTTCATGTGCCTGTCCCTAGTCAAGAACCTGTCAGTAGTTGTTGTATATGATATCTTAATGTTTGTTTACCCGGTATTTGAAAACTTTGGTGTTAATAACAGATCTTGTTTGTTTCTATTCAATCTACAGTGGATTCATTTATTTTCATGGGTATCAATTTTCGTGGATTCAGGAAAACTTGCATTTTCGTGGATATTTGATTTCGTGGTTTTGCCAATCTCTGCATACAAGGTCAATAGAAAAGGAGAAGATCCGGTAAGGGCCGATTTTGGCCTCAAAATTCAGATTCATCTAATGAAAGATTTTGGACACTTTTCAAACACTTAAGTGTCTACTTCAGTCGATTCAACTAGTTTATGTGAAAGATTTGAACTGATTTAGTCATTAAAGACGCTCAATTTCAAGCTTAAATATGAAAAATCTATAAAATATGCCATAATATGTCACTTTTCAGATGGTTTTTGTCAAAAATGAAAGTGGCCGCATCCGTGTTCATTCTCAACCTTTATATATGTTATGTATTATTATCAAATACAACTTGCATTTAAATATTAAGAATTTTCATTTAGACGGAAACCATCTAAAAATTAACCAAAATGCAAAAATTTCGAAGATTTCAGTAATTCAACATGACTTAATGATGCTAGTACCCGATACATGTGCATTGTATTGTCAAAAACAGCCCATATTTATGTAACAGAAGTATTCTTCTTTCCAATAAATAGCTAAAAATTTACATTTTAACAATTTTGTAAAACTGCTATATTTTGGGGCCAAAAAGGGGTCTTACTGGGCCTACTCCTTTGTCATTCGTTAAATATTTGAATTTGTGGTTCACATGTACCCACGAAAACCACGAAAATTGGAATACGACGAATAATAATGAATCCACAGTATTTAACTTTTAGACTCAGGATGATTTAGAGCTTGACATATGCTTGAAGATTATGTGTCCATCTAGATGTTTTTTGGTTATTTTTGTTGTTTGGAAGCTGTCTCTTTGATGTATACCCCACAGTTCCTTTTAGTTATAGAAATGTAAGTATAAAATATTTATCTTTCCTTATATCATTTTCTGGTTCAACAAATACCAACTTGATGTTCTATAGGAAAATTTTGTTAAAATCGATAAAAAAAAAATCAGTATCAAGGTCATCCTGTTTTTTCGGTTACATTATAACTCATCAGGGCTTGTATGTGATAGATAATGTAACCAAGACAGCATTACTTATTATCTTACAAAAGTATACAGATCAAAGTAAGCAGAGCTACTACTAGTTAATAATCTTACCTGGAAAGTATTACTGGTGACTCCCTGTAGACCCCAGTAATTGCTGCCTGTGTAACCAGCACAGACACACAACTCTCCGACTTCATCTGTTTTACAGAGATATGGTAACCCATCAACTTTTATCACAATCATCACAGCTGGAAGACAAAACAATCATGTGGTTACATATCTTAATAAAATGTCGCATAATTTCATAGTTCTAGCAATTGCATAATATTTGTTCACTTAATAAGAGACAGTTATTACCTCTGAACTTCTAAAGAAGATGATATTTAAAGTAGCGTCACAATGTTTGTTTTCTTTGAAAAACTGTAAAGGATTGGTGCAAATTTTATTTCTCTTGTTTTACTGCCATCATACATTTAGGTTATTAGACATACAAGTTTGAGGGAATCATTTGCTCCTTTATGATGTTTAAAATGAAAAATCCTAAAAATATTAACAGGATTACTGTGCATATGCGGAAGTTCTGACAGAAAAAAATATAAAAGAATTTCGTTTTACTAGTAGTGGCCTTTCTCCATTGATTAAGCTTGTGAAATAAGAACTTTGACCTCCATCAATAGTTCTTTTAAAATTCTTTCGCAAATCAATTGAAAAAGTAACACAAAATGTATCAGCTAAATCAGGATCATGACAAGGTTGTATTATATCATCTATCTTATCTCTATTTGTTTTAATGATTAACTGAATGATGTAGCTTAACATTTGTCAACAAGAAATAATATTATTCAGGACAATAACAGGCCTAGGTCACCAATTCGTATACAAAGTCCTAAAATCGTCCTGAAAATTTATTTCTTATCTCGTCTCAATAGTTTCCCTTTATGCCTCTTTTTTCCTAACTTTAGTTGCTCTCACCTCCTGGCATAACTTGACCACAATCCTGGAGTGTTAAAGAAGTTAAACTATTTTCACTGTCCACTCGTACCACACCATGACTTAACCCTAACATAGATAAAATACCACGACCTGTTGCACTAGCACTTGTTCTCCCAGGCCTGAAAATTTTTTAAAAATCATTTTAGTGACATTAAGATAATTAACTATAATAAAAAATCAATTAATTTTCACAATTTTGATTTAGATGTTATCTATAGCTATTAATTGTAAAAATTTTGTAAGAGTTCCATAGAACCCTGTGTCTCATCTGCAGTTACTGCTGTCGTGTTAAAGTGTAATGTTTACCAAAAACTAAGTCAATTTATAAGTAAAATACAGAGAAAAAAAATCAACTATATCAAAGATAATTTTAACTGAATTACAGTACTACTTCTACAATAGTGTCTAACTACCTTACCCATGAAGGTCCCACACAGTTGAAATACTATAAATTCAGATTTAATGAGTGCATTAATTATTGCAAATCATTGACCTCTGGCAAAAATGTGAAATCTAATTAATGCAATTTATAAAAGAAGGAAAATCACTAAATAAAAAAATAAATGCAAGTTTTTAATAGTGCAAACCTGATACTGTTTCATTCATAAAATAATCGCCAAAATTTCTGAATTAAATGTATAACAGTAAAAAAAATATTTTACTTTGGTAGACCGGTTTATTCCCGATTGTCCCACTTTTTAAAATTTTAGTTCTGATTGTCCCACATTATTTTATGAAGTAAAATGTTCTTAAATAAACAAGGTATATATTGTTTGTTTTGCTAGATAAACAAGAATTAATTATTGCATGTTCAAACTTTTATTTAATATAAATTTTATAAAAGCATAAGATATGATTTTTTTGGTATATCATCAGATTAATGCACTTTTGAGTAAATAATATAACATTTATGAATTATATTTATAAGCTTACGTTTATTTATATAAAACAAATATCAATACTGTGATTTTAATTTAATTTTTTTTTCGAAAGTTTTTAAAATGAATTAAGATATAATCCATTCAATTTAAAGAAAAGTGTAACTTACAACTTAATTACGCTGTACACTATACACGCACTAGTTGATGGAGAGATGTTTCCACTAGTCTTTGCACTTTTACCAGTGAAGTCAGATGCCATTTACACAAGATTCTTTATCATACAGAATACAATCTGATGGTGGTGACGGCAGCACCGTTAACTATTTGTAAAGCTTTATATTTCAGGGGGTAGAGGAATCGGATGGCTCATATTTTGTATATAGATCCATTGTGTTACGAAGTTCCCGTCTGTCATATAATCATTGTCCTTGACTTCATGTTCATGGTTTGGTGACTGCTAAAAACTGTATAGCTTGTTTTCGTCATGTGAATGTCTCATTTATCATAAGTTCTAGGATAACTATACTTGGCTACTAGTCTAATATATGGTATCCTTGCAATGCCTACATGTCCGTCAGACATCATCGTTCACATGACCTCGACCTCATTTTATGGATCTATGAACAAGGTTAAGTTTCAATGGTCAAGGCCGTATCTCAGATGCTATAAGTAGTGGGTCAAATACTTTTGGTGTATGGAATGGTAGCAGGGTGTACATGTCTTTGTGACAGAGTTAATCTGACCTTACCTCATTTACATGGAACATTGATAATGTTAATTTTATGTAGTACTAGTTGTATAATATAAAAATAAGGAGATGTGGAAGTAAGCATTTATAGGCAACCGTATGGCCTTCAACAATGAGAAAGCCCATACAGTATGGTCGGCTATAAAATGCCCCGATAGGGAAAATTTTATATAATTCATTTGAGAAAACTAACAGCCAAAATAACTAAACAATTTACCAAAAAAATTATGACAAACATGAACCAACGACAACCACTCAAATACCAGCACGATACTGACTTGGGACAGGCATATACAGAATGTATAATCCTTTTTTCAAAGACTTTCTACAAAAAACAGTAAGTTAGTAAAACATGCTGTAATAGTAGAATCCTAGTTTTTACGGTAACGATGTTTATGATCATACTTTTCTAAGACTTTTGATGACGTCCTTACATTAGCTTTCAATAAGGGGACGACCATTTGATTTCGAAAGGGGGAGGGGAGGAGGATTTTGAAAATGAATAACTTGGCCTGGTATTAACTGAAAATAAATGACTTTGCACAAGACAGGATGAAAAATTGATATGTGATGTTTTTTTACTTAATATTATATTCTATGATTGATGATACTTCAATTGTACACTGATTGTTTACCTGTAACTATTCCTTCTACACCCTATACAAACAAATTAATCACTATCAAAACAATTCCCGATTGTCCCACATTTAAGCTTCCCAATTGTCCCACAAACATATTCCCGATTGTCCCACAAAATTTCATTACTTTTTTACCTGTAATTTTAAAAAGTGGGACAATCGGGAAGACACCGGTAGACCTACCTTCTCACAGAAACTGTAAGGCCCTCTACAGAAGTGGCACATGGACAGATTGCATCAGATTTTAGTCCTTTGCTTTGGAACGCATTAAAGAAAGCATCACAGGAAGTAAGAGACCCTGAAATTAAACAAGTATTAGATATGTATATATCATGAAAATTATGTGTAAAACAAGTCTTTCATTTGTCTACTAAGATCAGAGATGAGTTTGCTTCAAATAAAATGAACTGAAAATAATTCAAATGGTTCTAAAAAAAAACCTCTCTCGCCCACTTATTAAAAATGTCATGCTTTACTAGCTCTTAATAAGTCCAGCAATTTTTGAAAAAAATTCAAGAAGGAATATTACTACTTTTTAAAAATTTTCAGACATTTTCAATTTGGCCTCGAGCATCACTGAAGACATTAATTGTCGAAATGCACATTTGGTGCAGAAAATGGCCTGAGAACACAGTTATTTCGTAGTGCATTTCTTTTAGACAATAAATTCAAATTAAAAAAATCGCACCTGCTCTATCTCAAAAAGATTTTTACAGTGTAGTGTACTACTATTGATACAAATAATATCAAAATTATAGAATCTTCTACCAGCTCAAACTCAAAATATTGACAATTCTGTGTTAAGGGGGGCTAAAATGCAGTTTGACAGCTTCAGACATTCTAATTTTTGACCTTTTTTAACTGGACCAAATCACTACTTAACATAAAGATTCAGCACCCAAATTTTTTTAACATGTAATTTCATCCCCTTGCTTAATATTTCATGCATAAAATATCAAGAAATAAATTGGGAAAGTGTATCAAAAAAAAATGCAAGTTATACACTGTTCACACTAGGGACTATATTTGTAGACAACGAAAACCAAAGGACGATAACTGTGTCCTTGGACCAAATAGGTTCCTCCCATGTTAATAACTGATATAAATCATTTTTGTTAAATTGTACTTTTAACAGTAGTCAACAAAACACTTGGACTAATGAAATTATTGAAGTTAATGTAACTCAAATCCTACTTACAAGGGTTAGCTCCATCGGCCACCAGTAAGAGACGTAAAGCACTAAAGTTTATATCTTTATGATCTTTCTGTGCTAACAGACCCCAGTGCATGTCTCTAGACTTCACTATTGCAACTGAAGCTGAAATTATATACAATATACAAATGAAGCTGTGACTATACATGATAATGTACTATATGAAGGTTCTCGAGAGTATGCACACATGTATATACAATATGAAAGTGAGAGTATACATAATGTACTTTATGAAGGTGAGTGTATACGCAGTGTACCAAGTACAAACATTGGTAATCTACACAATATAACTATGTACAAACATGGGTATAAAAATGTTCTGCACATAAGTGACAATATCATATTATCCAAATAGATTTGTAATTAAATTAACATAATTTGAAAGGACGGGGTAATTTTGATATTTTTTTTTAATCATTTTATGATTGGGTTGACAACTTTATATAAGAATCACTGATGAGCACTAATATGTTCCAGATGGTAACACCACAAAATGTCACTTATCATCATATTTGTACTTGCAATGAATAACACACTAGACTTCACTAGCGGAGCAGGAACTGCTTACCCTTCTAGAGCACATGCATTCACCCCTTGTTATTGGTGAGAATCGTGTTGCTCAATCTTGTAGCTTTTTTAATGTTGCTTGTATTTTCATTGTTTTTCTTTTTGGCCATAAAGCAGTCTTTTTTCATTGGACTCATGATTTTTGATTGACCCCTTGGTATTTTCTCTCTCTTTTTAATAATATATAATTTAATTTTGGATGTAACACGTCTTCTGATTCGCTGACGTTGTTTTGTTTATCAGCTCATAGACATAATTTTGTCATGTGACCGTGACGTCATTAACGTTTTTTCATGGTTTACTCCGGAATTTACTTCGAAATAACATAAAAAATGTGGTGCACACTTTAAAATAGTAGCGGGTTATTCAGTGTGCACCACATTTTTTATGTTATTTCTTCATAGACAGAAAAAATATTACAGTCATTCCTTAAATAGATATAAGATGATGTGGTATGAGTGCCAATGAGACAACTCTCCATCCATCCAGGTAGTCAAGATACCTACCTTTATATTTGGTGACCATTTTCATCCATGAGGCAGGATCAACTTTCATCAGAGAATAGGGAACAAATATCACATGCATGCCATTAAATACACTCTGTAATGATAAACATTGGAAATCTTACAATGTCAAATTCCGAGAAATATTGCGTGCATAACTTTGTGATGTTTGAAAAATGGACATAAATGTGAGATAAATTACTGCAATTTCAGAAAAAGATGCATACAGGTACATGTGTCTTTGATATCATAATGCAAGTTCTTATTATAGTGATACTCACCCTGACACATTATTCTATTTATAAAAATCTCGCAATAATTTCTCAATTTACAATAATGTAAAAAAACAACAGTGAGTTTATAAATACTTTGTCATTTCCACTCACTCTACAATGGCTACTTATACCAACTCAAATTTAACCACAGATTTATTTAAAAATAATGAATAAAAAAGTTCATATACTTTTTCCTAAGTATTAACGATTCAATTGAAGATCAGACAAAAGATAATCATAGAATCTTACTTTGAAAAAAATTAGTAAAAGAATTAATTTCTACATAATTCTAAAATACAGAGGTCTACTTACACATAAAATCCCATGCCACAATCCCAATTCACGTTTAAAGTCTAATACACAAACCATCACTTCACCTGAAAAAGAAGAATAAAATTAACATTTGAAACAACATAGTGATAGCTAACCCTTAAGAATGAAGATCCATTGGTCACCATATCTTATTTATAATTTAATTTACCTGATTTAAGTTCACACCATTATGACTCAATATGAGCATGTGTACTGAGTTTCAAGTTGATGAGACTATCACTTTATCAAAAAATTAATACAAGACATATGAAATGACAGACAAACAGACTGGAAAACATATAGCCCTGAGTATACGCTGGGGCACAAAAATGCATCATGATGACTGCATTAATCAACTGGTGTGTGAATTTACCTGACAGTGTGGTGTAACGATAACAGCTTTTTCTATTTTAAGTGTAAAAGTCATTCAAATAATCCTCATCTGAGGGTTTGGTATCATAATTTCCGTCTAGAACTATAAATAGTAAATTCAGTAATAATGCATGCATGCATTTATAATTGCGAGTGCCTGATCACTGGCAAAAATGGTAGAGATTTAATTAATGTGATTGCAAAAGATTTTGTGAAGGAAAATCATAAATAAAATTAAGAATGCCAGTTACATTATAATTGTGAACCTGACATAACACACTATTCCATGTAACAGTAACCCTCATGCATAGTACTAAGAGGTCAAGGGGTCACCTACCTTCTGTATAATTAGCTGCCACTGTAAGCGTTCTTGCGTGACATAACATACTGCTCCTTGTAACTGTAACTCCCATAGTACTTCCATCTTTTCCTTGTGTATACTGAAAAAATAAATCATTGTCAATTTTTTCTTCAAATGCACAGCATGGCGACCTCTGGCCCCTGTATTTGATTCAGGCTTGTTTCTGTATCACTTAAAACATTCAGTATCAAATCAGAACATCTTGCAACAGTTGATTCCTTCAAGACTTAAAAGTGAGGAGTAAGCACACTATTTGCTGCACTCTCCTCACCAATATGAGGTTCCAGATTAAAGAAACAGATAATTATGGCCTTAAATAAGATAAGAGAATAACTGAATGCTAAAATATAAAAGAGATTAATGATAAGTAGAATCTAAAAGGCAAAGTTATCTAAGAATTGAATGCTTCTTTTTATAATTTTATTGGGGTGTAAAAGTGTTGACCAAAGCACATCTTGTATGAAGCGCTTCTATTAAAAATGTGTGCACGATCGACACTATTACAAACCTATGAAATTGAAAAAAGAAGCATTAAAATCTTAGAATTACATATTTATACTACAACCACAATTAAGAGTTATATATATATCAAGCAGGTGCAGTCATATCTGTTGTATTTTAAACAGAAATTAAATATGATAATGGAGTTCCTCACAATTGTTGTCAGCCAATAAAATTTATGGATTTAAATGAAACATGCACGTTATGTATTTAGTTAGAAATTGAAAAGCAACCTGTTAGACCTCAATTGAGGTGTCAAAATTTAAATTTTAGATGTAGCACATCTATTGAAAAAGTTATGCAAACAATACATTGTTATCTTAAAATAAATATCAATTTGTGACATATTCTCCACAAAGGTTTTAATTCAATAATGAATGTGTAGAATTTCATTCAAAGTTATTCAACAGTTAATCAGTTTTACGATTAAAATAGATATATGATTAAAAATAACAATTACACTTCTTAAAATATTTAGATTCTATTAAGAACTTGTGGCACAAAAAAAAATTAAAATATGTGAAATAAGGGGAGACAACCAAAACAATCATCTTTACCATTGTTTCTTCCTTAAATATTTATGGTTAAATTTTGTTGTTTAATACATGTATCCAAAAGGAGAAAAATAGTATAAATAAAGATTCTGCCACTGCGTTGAGTGTGATTTGATATCTCTTCACTCAAGAATTTTTTTATCATTTTTATGAATTCAAAAGGAATCTGTCTATCTGAATTTTAAAACCAATAATTTGACTGTTCTCAAACATTTAGATGTCAATGTAAAATTAATGGGGCAAAAATTTTAATGTGTCTGCATTAAGAGGAGATAATGAACTTTCCCTAAGTTTTATGGTCTAACATTAAAAAAAAAACAGACAGAGAGATGGCATAAAGCTGTACAAAGTACATTATAACACAATCATTCAACAATTGATTAAACCTTTCATTTTTTCGACGGTTCTTTTAAATTTTAAATTCAGTTGACATCAGGGTTTGTGTAAAAAATTCTTTTTCAGAAATTCAAAGATTTCTAGTCTTTTTTTTTAATAAGGGTGAAAATATAGTGTGTGTTTGAGTTGGCTTAATTAAAAGAACAACAAAATTTTGGCTGCTTCTTGTTGATAAGAAAAGGAGAAGGGATAACAAAGCCATTTATTGGTCCCCTGAATCAAGACCTTTTTATCAAATGCAAAATGTATGTATTGGCCCGAGAACACAGTTATTTCGTAGTGCATTTCTTTTAGAGAATAAATTCAAATTAAAAAAATCGCACCTGCTCTATCTCAAAAACATTTTTACAGTGTAGTGTACTACTATTGATACAAATAATATCAAAATTATAGAAACTTCTACCAGCTCTAACTCAAAATATTGACAATTCTGTGTTAAGGGGGGCTACAATTCAGTTTGACAGCTTCAGACATTCTAATTTTTGACCTTTTTTAACTGGACCAAATCACTACTTAACATAAAGATTCAGCACCCAAATTTTTTTTACATGTAATTTCATCCCCTTACTTAATATTTCATGCATAAAATATCAAGAAATAAATTGGGAAAGTGTATAAAAAAAAAATGCAAGTTATACACTGTTCACACTAGGGACTATATTCGTAGACAACGAAAACCAAAGGATGATAACTGTGTCCTTGGACCTATTGGTCTAAAATGGCACTCAAGTGTATGAAAAATATTTATGTGGCTGTTAATTGTTGATAAGAAAAATTTCTCTTTTAATAATTTCATCATTTATCAGAAATCTAAAATTTTGTTTCTATGGACTTTAGTCAATTTTGGTCAAACACTTACATTTTTATCAGAAATCTCTAAAATATCTTGTTTTAACCATTTGTAAATCATCAAGAAATTGTCAACGTCTCAATTATCTTTAAAAGGCTGACAATTTTTTAGTTCTTGTTTAGAGATTCCAATGTTGTTATAACTTGTGTCTAATCCCTTTTGCTACTTTTGGAAATAAAATATGTTTAAACTAAAACTAAATTAAACTAGAGATTCCAATAGGGTATACATTTTACATACATTTCAGCCATGACCTTCTTGAGTTACTTTAAAAATATTTAATTCCCACTTTATATGGCAACATATGTTATTTGCATGGGAAAAGTCAAAAGTCTGGCAAATTCCTGAACACCTTCATGATTGTATTTAAGCACCATTTCCTAATTCACTATTAAATAGATTTTTGCAGTAAGTTGGTTAGATTACCTCCCCTTAATTGAAGTATATTGAATTTTTTTTCTGCATTAATTATCAACACTTAACATCATAAAATCTGTTATAATCTTTATTCATTGACCAATGTTCATTCATAATTTAATATAATGATTAAGGTTTTTAAATATAAATGCAAAAATTATAAATAAATTTCAAAAAACAAGACTTTGGAACAAATTTGACAGCAAAAAGTATGAGTACTAATTAAATCTAATTGAAATCATAATAACAGCATTAAAGCTTGAATTTAATGAATCCCAATTTTGACACCTCAGATAGAGGTACATATATACTAAACAAACACTTAACTTAAACTTTCAGGAGATAAAACTTGTAATCACAATTTAAATTTCAGGTTTGATACAAATTATTTTGACCATTCTTCCTGTATAAAAAGGATTCCACTAGCCGTCATGCAGAAAAAATAACTTTTAGCAAAAATTATTGCTAACGAATAATGACTACCATCTTGTTTATTTCTTTCAGGCTTCTTTGAATCTTCCAATCAGTCAACACTGGGCTTTTTACCTTGTACTCGAAATCAGGAACATATATATTGACGGGACTTGACACTAACTGATTGTAGTCGATTTTATCGTCGTGCCATAGTTAATAAAGATACGATACAGAAACGGACATGTGTTAAAAACGGACTCGCTATTATCCTAATAATTTCTGATATTATCAATAAAATGTCATTCAAACTAGTTTTATAGTAATGCTAGTGTATCAAACTTGTATTCTGTCACTTCAAATTTGTTAAAATCGTAAGCATTTCATCACAGAATTGTGCAGAATGCAAACAAGGTAATAAAAAAAATGGCGGCCATTGCCGCGATGATTTACAAATTCCCAAACTATTATAAAACACTTCAAATCAAATAAATCAAACTTATTTTTGTAATTTTATATGACAAAATATATCTACTAAATGATAAAACTTGTATTTATTTACAATTAGAGTTATGTGGTTTATTTGTTGAGCAGTTCTGATATTTTTTCAGTCACACGCTACCAAAATCCGTAAATCTCGGGAAGTCTCGGGGAGGCCGAGATTTTATCAATTTTATACTGAAAAGCGTATCAGATTCATTTCCCGTTAGATATACTGTTCCCAGTCGAAATGTGTTACAATTTTGAAAGAAAAACAATAATCATATGATTGTAAATAGGAAGTGGAAGGCAACGAACTGTCCTACTAATTATCAAAAATATCAGCTTATAATGTCGTGTAAGTCAGTTGAGTTATACATATAAATAATGTGAATGCTAAAAGACAGTATAATCAATCTTTTTTAACCTAATTTAAGTTTTTATTTCGTGCAACTATATCAAAATCAAAATCTTATCTGTAAACTTACTTCTACATAAGCAGGAATATCCTCTGAGACTTTAGGCGGAGGTTGCCAGTCTTTGTGTGGTTTGGCTAAATTGTCTGTTATAAACCAGTGCAGTTTGGGCCAGCCTAGGATAAAAAAAAGTACCTCTCTATCAAAAAGGAAATGAAATTGACTTTTCCTTTAAACTAGATTTTTACCCAATCATATTCAAGTTGTTCTTCAGTATGGAGACATTCATGCCTTTTTTTCTAATTTTCAAGATAATTACATTTGTAGGATAAAATACATATTCAAAGGTTATTATAAACTATACTTGATATGGGTTTTGCACATTGCTGAAGGCAATATAGTGACCTAAAGTTGCTTTCATCAAAGTCCTAGGGTTTATGGTGGATTATTGTCTCACAAGCAATCTTACCACAGCTTCAAATTTTTACATTGTACTCTATTCATTATTTAACTTTAAGAAAAATAATTCATGAAGCAACTAGACATCATTGAGATGGGAGCCATCTCTGTGGGCCCTGCTGACCTTGAATTTTGACCTAGGAAGTTGTACAAACATTATGACACACCCTCTGGTGTTGGTTAATATACATGTCAAGTATAAAGTATGAAATTATAACGGTTCTCTAAATATAGAGCGGACACAATTTGTTATGAACGGATGGACAGACAGACAGACTTGATCACTATATGGCGACCAATTAATTAAAATAAATGTAAAAAAGTTCTTCCACAAAAGGGGATCAACTCTTACAAAACTTAGAAAGTTAAAATGGTGACTTCTTCTTTTAACATCGATACAAACCTTTAAAACTACTAACTTCACCACTGGCAGATTTTGATAGACTTTTATAACAGGCTTCTGATGTTAATCCCCACTGTACATTTAGACTTCCTAGCATGAACCCAATCCCTTCACTTCCAGCATCCTGTAAATGTAACAATGAATTTCATTGGTTAATGCATTCAAACAAATGAATTTCATTGGTTAATGCATAACAAATGTCACACTAAATTCTATTGGTGAATTCTAAATGTCCAATAACATTTGAATGAAAGACAATTTTGTCACTTCCTATCTCCTTTCTCAAAGGTACCATAACATAGAACTCTACAAGTCAAAATAGTTTATAATTTTCATACTTAAAATATAAAATCAAATTTGATTGGTTCAATTTATTTATTGCTGAGCTGCATAAACATTATTTTGTACTGATAGAGTGAAAACATTTAAACTACAGTGAAATAGAAAAATTAAAGTTCGTTTAAATTTTACCAATTATTTATATAAATATATATTGCTTTGAATTTATCAAACTTAAAGTAAAATTTTGTAATTATAAAATGGTCTGTTAAATGATTAACTTTTTAGGAACTCATGTTATTAAACACATTATTTTCCTCCACAGATATTTTTAGTTCAAGACGAAGAAAAGCTTCACCAAGAATTCAATATAAAATCAGACACCCCTCCAAGCCCCTCCCTTTAAATATTTCTTCAAAGGAATTTGATTTATCATCATTTATATTACAAACAATGTTAAGTAACTCAAAAATGGATACAACAAAAAATGTATCGTTATATAGATGAATACAACTCTAACATCAAGAAAAATAATCACCGAATTCAAAAATTCAAAATACATATGACTCACCAACAAAGTTTTAAAAAATGATAAAAATAAGAAAAATTTATAGAACAGGATCTGCAGATTTTTAAAAAATTTACAAATTGTCACCCTTCAGATTTTAAATTTTGAATAGAGAAATTGACAGATTAACAAGTTCAAAATTTACTTAACTTGCATTCATGACAATTTCTTTCTGAATTTAATATTTTGTCCAAAGAAAGTCGTAAATTTTAATTTAATCAAATTATCTGGCATGTAAGACAACTTTAAAATTTGAAGTTTTACATTCCAATAAAATTACACGAAAAAATGCACAAAAAAAGTCCAGTCATACAATCAAAAATCACAAATAACACAGCATACATGTATTTGAAATAAGAGTGATGGATGATATGCAGATGGTCTTGTGACAAAATTCATGTTTTCTACAGACATGAAAACATGGAGTAAATTTTTGCTGTATCACAAATTACAAAATTCAATACAACATTTGATATATGTATCTTAAGGGATACCCAAAGCTAAGAAAATTTGGAATATTAAACGTAAAATAAAAGATGAAGAGCCTAAATAACCTATAAAAAGGACAAAAGGTAGAGGGCTTCAACCCTAATAAGGGGAATGAAGTGGATACTGTGGATCTGTCATTATTCCTTGAATACCAATTTTCATGGATGTTGTGGGTATAGTTAAATCACAAATTTCAATGTTTGATGAAGCACACATTTTCCATAGACTTATATGCAGACTGGCAAAACCACGACATTATGTATCCATAAAAATACAATTTTCCTCAATCCATGAAAACTGGTAACCACGAAAAATAAATGATCCACAGCATATACATAAAATATGTTAGTTGTTCCAGAAAAAAATATCCATAATGTTCAAGAAAAAGTTGAAAGTACTTGTATAAAAATTCTAGATGGTGTTTTGGTGTAGAACAACATTGTGTATGCCATGGTAAAAAATTACTCAATGGGCACTTGGCTCCTGAAAAAAGGGCCATTAAAGGCCTCCCTTTTACTGAAAAGCCCTCAGCAACAATATACTAAGCTATATCCTTAAATAGACTACTAACAGCAGAGCAATAGTGGTATCATCGCTATAGTAACTTTCATTTTAAAAAGTACCAACTTTAATGCACCAGATGTGCATTTGGACAACTAATGCCTATAAGCAATATGCCTGACCAAAACATACATTTTCTTTAAAGATAAAGCAATTCAAGAGTAGAGTATTGTAAATTCAGAAATTATTGCAATATTTTTAACAGGTTCATCATAATAAAAACTTCCATTCATTAATTCAATGGTGATTTTCCTCCATTAAATTTTGCGGTCACACTTTGACATTTTTGCTAGAGGTCAAGGATTCCCAATAAAAAATGTATGCATTAATTTCAGAATCAACAGTATGTCCATTAAGGATATGACACGGCCAACAAATTAGAATAAATCAAGAGAATGATGCTCTGTAATGTTGTCATCTTGTGTAGAAATATGATTTGAATTCAGACAGACAGACTTACAGAAAGACAGCAACTGTGACTTAAAGTTTAATAACCAGTTTACCTTAAAGTTCATTTCTTATAAAAAAGGATGTAATTAAACTGATTAACATTATCATTGCCACTAGGAAAACTTTTAGGCAATTCCAGAACTGAATCATCTAAAATTTTTATTAAAAGCACTGAGACATATATATTTATGTATTCTGTTATTATGGGCTAAATAATATATAATGGTATGTTCCAAATAATGGTATGTTCCAAATAATGGTATGTTCCAAATAAGCATAGAGGTAATATTTGACTAAAAGTACACTGCATCAAAATTAAGAAATTGTATACACTGATCAAAGTTTAATTATGATGTTTTACATTTGTTTACTTCAAACCTTTCAGGGCTGTTCCAGAAAATACTATGTCCCCCCAGGGACGGCACCATTTTTTTAACCCCCACCACCCACAGCAATAAAAATAAATTAGAACAACACTCCCTTTGCATTTTGGTATTTCAAATACAACCACCCACATAAAATTAAAAAAAATTGCCTTCCCTGGGGGGAACATAGTATTTTCTGGAACAGCCCTCAGATGGTAACCTAAGAAATGTCTTAAATAACACATCAATCTATAAATATCACTGTAAGAGTCTACGTGTATGAAATTTAGAGCTTACATTGTAAAAACACCTCAATTCTAATGGTTGTTGTTGATGAAATGGTGGAAATAAATAAAACACCAGTCCACAAATATCATTTTAAGTCTACCTGTATGAAATTTTACATTTTGATGATTCTACTCTTTGAGGCTGATGAAATGGTGAAAACGAAATCATATGTGCAAAGCAGAAATCCCACACACAATTGTAAAATCTTACCCATAAATGGTCAACAACGGCGTGATTAGACTACAAACAATGTAACACGTCATTATCATATAATTATATGTGTGTATATGTCACTGATTACATACATTAATGTATATGTAACTTTCTTTATAATTATATGTGTGTATATGTCACCATTACATACATTGATGTATATGTAACTAACTTTATAATTGTATGTGTGTATATGTCACGATTACATACACTGATATATATGTAACTTTTTTTTTAATTATATGTGTGTATATGTCACGATTACATACATAGGCATCTGATTACAGTAGTTGTCGTCTGTTTATGTAGTTCATACGTGTTTCTCGTTTCTCGTTTTTATATAGATTAGACTGTTGGTTTTTCCGTTTGAATGGTTTTACACTAGTAATTTTTTGGGTCCCTTTATAGCTTGCTGTTCGAGTGAGCCAATGCTCCGTGTTGAAGGCCATACCTTGACCTATAATGGTTTACTTTTATAAATTGTAACTTGGATGGAGAGTTGTCTCATTGGCACTCATACCACATCTTCCTATATCTATAGATGTATATGTAACTTTCTTTAGAATCATATGTGTGTATATGTCACAATTACAGCTAAATTGATAATACCATGATGTAAATGTACTGTATATTGGGTTATTTTCACAGTTTAGACCTTAAATGGGACAGTGTTCATTATTAGTATTTCGTGGCCTTATACAAGGCATTTAAAAGAACATTTAGATGTTTACGAAGGGTAAATTTCGTGGTAAAATGTGAAACTAGAAAAAATAAGACACACTTAAACATATGGTACTTTCTTTTACAATTCAATTGAATAAACTATGTGATTTTGTATATGTATATTTAAATAAAATAAAGATATAACGTGAGTTGTCTCCCATAGACCTTACTTTACAATTCAATAAAATGTATTTTTTTATTTCTCATGTAAATCTCTTCTTGAAAGGTTGAAGCAATAAGACATAATCATGTCATGTTCAACTAGGATTTGTGATTTGATTGAACTGTGTAATTTCAATTTTTTTTAAATATAAAGAGAGTTGTCTCCCATAGACCTTTGAGTTAACTTTTAAATTCACATCACACTTATTTTAAAACCACTAAGACCAATAAAATTGAATCTACACATATTTATCTGTACAATGATTTTCCAGAATATTCCAATTAATTCATTTAATTCCAACTTTCAGTTCATGAAATTTCCAATTTTTTCTTTGTATTTAGTAACTTTCTTTTCATTTTCCTAAACAATGGGTAACAATTTTTTCATTGTATTTTGTCACCATCTCTGGCATTTTCCTAGACGACCCATTATAATATTTTGCTCAGCAATCCTATATTTCTCAATACTTAAATGAAAAACATGTATTCAAACACACATTTGAAATATCTAATTTTCGTAATTTCCACTGTTTTTTCTTTAAAACTCAACAATTTCCTAATATACATTTCATAAGAAAAATCTAATTTTTAAGACCCTTTTCCCTCCAAAATTGCTTGTATTTTAAAAACTCATCACACAGAACTATCTGTCTTAAAACATACTTTTGAAGATTTTAATTATTATTCTCCTTTTGACTGGATTTTCTACATAACCAATCAAAATCCTTGATACATAACCACTTACCCGTCTTGCCGAAGGAACTTCTACTGGTACCGGTACAACTCCAGCTACTAAACAACCATAGAAAGCACAGCTAAATGATATTGGGTCATTGTTTGGGTAAACTAAGGCAACCTGAAAATATAAATGCAGCACAGCTATAAGATATTGGGTCCATTCTAGAATGAAAGTAAGCCACCTAAAATATAAATGTAGCACAGCTATAAGATATTGGGTCCATTTTAGAATGAAGTAAGCCACCTAAAATATAAATGCAGCACATTCAAATAAAAAACTGTAGATTCATTTATTTTCACTGATATCAATTTTCTTGGATTGAAGGAAAACTTATATTTGCGTGGATATTTGATTTTCGTAGTTTTGCAAAAGTCTGCATACAAATCTATAGAAAATGTGTACTTTGACCTATAACTGTTTACTTTTTACACATTGTGACTTGGATGGAGACTCGTCTCAAAGGCACTCATACCACATCTTCTTATTTCTATTTCACTGAACATGAAATACACAATTTACCTATACCCACGTAATCCATGAAAAATTGGTATCTCATGAATAATAATGCATCCACAGTAGCATCACAAATGAAGAAATAAATTCTAAAATTGATGAAACCCTATCAAATCTTTGAAAACAGACATGATAGAACACCTTCAGGTCAGCTCTTATAGATTTTGACCATTTAAAGAAATTATTCTATGCCATGAGGTAGAACATGAAACACTTTTAAAGTAGACTCTGTGGGATTTAGAATTAACATTTTCAAGGTGATTGGACTCCTGAAAAGTTACTTTCAAAGACCCTCATATGATTTTTCTGCAACAGTCCTTACAGATTAAAGATTTGACTTCTACCTAACATTCTATTTGTTCCATACCCTATCTCCTGGTTTGACAGCTCCATCTCCACTTTTCTGTCCAGTTTTATGTAATAAACAATAAGCAATTTTCTGTGTACGGTTTAATAATTTTCCTGAAATAAGAATAGTTTAAGAGATATTAAATAACATAATTCATAATCTATGTTAACCTTTATGATTCATTTTTTGATTTTTTTCTTCAATTATCTACACTTTTTATAATCTTTCTGAATCGTGACACTTAAAAGGTGTACATTTCTATAAAAGACTACCCATAAAAGAAATGTTTTTTCAGACAAGCTTTTTCTCAATCCACTATGTTCTAATACAATTGTGCAGACAGCTCTTACGTTCACATATCAATTCTGAAAGTTTTACGGTTTTTGGGCCAAAAAATGTCATTGAGTGGCTCTAATTCAATTAAACCCCCATATCTCATTTAAGGATGTTAGCTCCTCTTGTTTTCAAATTTTTTGCCAGATATTCGGAATCCTCTGGCTTTATCGATGTAGTGCCATTAAAAAAATTAGCCCGCTAACCCCTACTTTTCTTTTTATAATTTGAATACATATAGTTTAAAAAGCCATATTTGAAAATGTTATAAAATTCTTGTTATTTTTTCATAGTTTTTGAAAGGAAAAAAGTGCCAACTTTAAATATATGAAAAATATAGAGAGAATCATTTCCCGCCAAATTTTCAATGGCTTATATCTCGAAAACAAGCTCACGGACCTTTCATTTTTTTCTGCTTTTTTAGTTTCTTTATTTATATACTATAAATTTATAACAGTCTTTTAAAAAGCTTGTTATTTTGAAACAGAGTAGCGATCATCCTTAATCAACAATGTGACATTATCGTTTGAGATGTTGCATGTTTGTGGATTATTTTACCATGATACAATGCATGTGACGTCAAAAACAATTTTATCTCTACATGTAGTTTGTAATCAGGCACAGAACATTTCTAAACAGACCCTCTGTCCTGAATATGCATGAAATATTTTCAACTAGACAATAACCTAACAATGATAATTCAATCAAAAATGTACTGTTTACTGAAAACATTTATCCAAACTTGCATCTAAATTCAGCAACTTTGACTTTTTTGTTTTTGGTCTTAGTTTATATCTTGCGTTTCATATTTTTCCTTAAAAGAATTACTGTAGAAACATTAATTTTCGTGGGGTTAAAATTTCGTGGTTTTGTCTCTTTATAAGATTTCATGGGGATTTAATTTCGTGGTTTCCAGTAAATGGAAGTGATATTATATGTAGGTTAAATTTTCGTGGGGGTTTTAATTTCGTGGATATATTCTTTCCACGAAATAAACGAAATTAAATCCTCCACGAAAATTTCTGCTTTTACAGTAGTTGCTTATGGCAGATTTTTTGTATTTTTAAGACATGTTAAGTCTCAATGCCATTTAGAGCTAGACATATGTTCATGTACCTGTAAACAGTCAGGATTTTCATAAGTGGCGACATGAAATATTTGCCACTGGATGTTAAGCAACCAACAATCAATCAATCAATCAATCATAAGTGGCAATCTTTTGTTGTTTTTAGTGAATAGTTACCATAGGTTAAATTCAATGAATAGTTACCCAAGGTTTTATCTAACGAATAGTTACCATAAATCTAATGAATAGTTACCTCATGGGACGGATGGACAGATGGACGGACGGACAGACAAAGGTAAAACAGTATACCCCACTTTTATAAAGCGTGAGTATAATTAAATGAATAGTTACCATAGGTTAAATTTAATGACGGTTTTCCACTTTGGTCCAGGACAGTAACAGCATTAGCTTTATATGTAGAAGAACCATATCTCTGTAATGCTGCCTCCAGATTTCTGGGTAATCCTGAGGGGGTCTGAAAATAGAATTAAAAATAAAATGCTCCGCAGGGCTCAGCTTGATACGACCGCAGAGGTCAAACCCTGAACAGTTGGGGCAAGTATGGACACAACATTCAAGCTTGATACAGCTCTGAATTTGGATTGTGATTAAATATTTGACACAGCATAGGTTTCTGACACAGAATGAATGTGGTCTAAGAACTTAAAAATTTTAAATTGGACATTCACCTATTATGGTCCAATATCCAAAATCTAAATACATGGTTAGATTCAGCATATCAAAGAACCCCAAGAATTCAATTTTTGATGAAATCAAACAAAGTTTAATTTTGGACCCTTTTGACCTCAATGTGGACAAAGTTGATAACGGGGCCAAAAATCAAAAATCTAAATACATGGTTAGATTCAGCATATCAAAGAACCCCATATATTCAATTTTTGTTGAAATCAAACAAAGTTTTATTTTGGACCCCGATTTGGACCAACTTGAAAACTGGGCCCATAATCAAAAATCTAAATACATGTTTAGATTTAGCATATCAAAGAACCCTCAGAATTCAATTTTTGTTAATATCAAACTAAGTTTAATTTTGGACCCTTTGGACCTTAATATAGACCAATTTGAAAACGGAACCAAAAATTAAGAATCTAAATACACGGTTAGATTCGGCATATCAAAGAACCCCAATAATTCAATTTTTGATGAAATCAAACAAAGTTAAATTTTGGACCCTTTGGACCTCAATGTGGACCAATTTAAAAACGGGGCCCAAAATCCAAAAACTTAATACACGGTTAGATTCAGCATATTAAAAAACCCCTAGAATTCAAGAATAAAACCCCATTGAAATTGATCAAGAAATAAGCAATTTATACGAAGTATCTTCTTTTGCACAATACTGTGCAATTGAATATTTCTTGCTATTGCGCAATACTGTACAATTGACAATTTCTTACTATTGCGCAATATTGTGCTATTGGATATTTCTTGCTATTGTGCAATACTGTGCAATTGAAGATTTCTTGCTATTGCGCAATACTGTGCAATTGAAGATTTCTTGCTATTGTGCAATACTGTGCAATTGAAAATTTCTTGCTATTGCACAATACTTATTATATAATAATTTACACATCCTGTTTGGTGTGTATCTCCTACCATATCATTATTATTTGCTTTTAAATATAAATCAGAAATAACCAACTTAAAATGGAAAATTTTAAAAGAAAAAAAAATGAAAAAAAGAAAAAAAAAAAAAAAAAAAAGAAAAAAAAAAAAATCCCCCCCCCCAAAATATTTTGAACCCCCTTTTGATTCATCACCCCCAAACTCAATCCCATCCTTCCCTTTGTGGTATGGTACCTTGCAGTACAATTTCAGAGAGATCCATACACTTGAACACAAGTTATTGCCTGGAAACTAGAAAAATGCTTTTTTTTGGCCCCTTTTTGGCCCCCAATTCCTAAACGTTTCGGGCAATTACCCCCAAACTCAATTCCAGCTTTCCCTTTGTGATATGGAACCTTGTAGTACAATTTCAGAAATATCCAAACACTTACACACAAGTTATTGTCTGGTAACTAGAAAAATGCTTATTTTTGGCCCCTTTTTGGCCCCCAATTCCTAAACGTTTCGGGCAATTACCCCCAAACTCAATTCCAGCTTTCCCTTTGTGATATGGAACCTTGTAGTACAATTTCAGAAATATCCAAACACTTACACACAAGTTATTGTCATGAAACTAGAAAAATGCTTGTTTTTTGCCCCTTTTTTTGCCCCTAATTCCTAAAATTTTGAGGCAATTACCCCCAAAATCAATTACAGCCTTCCCTTTGTGATATGGAACCTTGTGGTACAATGTCAGAGAGATCCATACACTTACACACAAGTTATTGTCTGGAAGTTACAAAAATGCTTATTTTTGGCCCCTTTTTGGCCCCTAATTCCTTAACTGTTGGTACCATAACCCCCAAAATCAATCCCAACCTTCCTTTCGTGGTATTGAACCTTATGGTAAAATTTCATGGAGATCCATTCACTTAAACTAAAGTTAGAGTGCGAAAACCAATGTGTCTTCGGACGACGACGACGATGACGACGCCAACGTCATACCAATATACGACCAAAAAAATTTTAATTTTTGCGGTCGTATAAAAAAAATTTTAATTTTTGCGGTCGTATAAAAACCACTGAAATGCTGCAAGGTTTTCTTAAGAGTCTGATATTAAATTACAAATAAACAAATCTTTCAAAATAGCTATTGTCATGTTTCAAGGTAAATTTTTGAGAAGTAATACAGATAAAAAGTTTTAATTTTAGAGCATTCAGTTTTGTTCCGTACAAAACAGGGTTCATATTCATACAAAATAAACCTATACTGTATATTCAGGAATTATTGTGAGGTTTTTATAAATGCCAATGATGCGACTGGGTGAGTATTGCAAAAAATAATAATTGCACACAATAACTTCTGAATTTACACTATATTCTAGCGAGGGGTAAAATATCGGCATAAAGGGACAAGCGTGTATTTTCCCGTAAAATGCTTATATTCTTACGTCATCGTTCTATGACGTCGGGTAGCTCATTCATAAAAAAGCATATGACGCAGGAGTACGATCGGAACAGCCCAAACAATATATGCATATTTTACCACGGGTATGTACTCAAAGCGTTTGAAGAACGTCATGTTAGAATCCCTGCATACAACAGGTTGAGTTAAATAAATGAAGAAATATGTAGGTTTTATGATAAATTTGAGTAACATTATGATACTTTATGGCAAAGTTAATAAAATTTCTATATCATTTGGTCTCTGGTGGAGAGTTGTCTCATTGGCAATTATACCAAATCTTCTTATTTTTAGGCTGTGTTATGCAGCTGATATCCAAAAATAAATATATGCTGAAAATATGATAATAAAATATATCAATTGTTGTATTCTTGATCCAAAACATAGTTGTTTCAAAGTCTATGCATGGTTTACTTTACAAATTTTGACTTGGATGGAGAGTTGTCTCATTGGCACTCATACCAAATCTTCTTATATCTATGAAACTTGCAGCTTGCTTTGATAATGTCAGTTCATACTTGAAAACCTTAAGTCAAGACATTATGACATCATTGTTAAATCCAAGTTAAACTTGATGAAATTGGGTCAAAAGTATTGAGAAAATAAAAAGATATGGCAACATGATACAGTCATAGGAAATTACTATAATGCCTTTACTATCGAAGACCTTAACAGAGGAATGACCTCCCATGTTGTAAATAACTGTGTTCACCCTCTTTAAATAAAGAATTTATTATTATTATAATGAAAAGGGCTTTATCAAAGGGGAATATTTTTAATTATGACACTTCTGCAGGAGCATACCCTTCAACACTTACATTTAACTGTTCACCAGCAACTGGTGTAAGAATGTTTCCTTCTGGTTTTGGTGCATTGGGGTCAGGAACTGGAGCTGAAATTATAAACATAAAGATTTAAATAATTCACTCTTCATGATGCTTGTCTACTGACTTTTATACAGTGAAACTAAATTGTACACCTTCTGAGACCAAGATTTCTTTTTTTTAAGACAGATGTTCAATTTCCACAGGTTAAAATACTAAAGAACATTATTCATTGATTGTTCCAATGCAAGTTCACTATAGACAGGTTTCTGATTTACACAAAGTTCAGTTTAGCCAGGTAATATTGTTATAATGATTAAAAGAAAATGTAACTTATCTAAATAAAAAAGAACTTGCACACACATGCATTGTCCATCTAAGCATATCCCTACACCTCATTCAAAGTTAAGGTGGTACCTAACACGTTACGTTGTATTGTTAAGGAAATATTAAGCTTCTCAATGATCAAAATTAGTGTTTGTCAAACTGCTATATAACCAAAGAAATTTTTCTGATAAAGTGGTTGGTTCAAATTTTTTGAAATTTTTATATTTTTGTCAAAGGGTCAAAGTAAACATTTTGTCAAAATTTTATGAAAATTAAATGAGCCAAATTAATATTAGTCAAGGTGTTGGGTACCACCTTAAGGTATGTGAAAAGAAGATAAAAAGTGTTCATACAAGCATTACAACTCATCACTATCAAGCCACTGACCAAATATGAAGTCATTCTATCCCATAGTTCATGAGAAAAGTGTGAAAAAAATATTTGTTTACATTGATCATATCGAAAATTCAGTTTCGGCAAACAGTGTCTGACAGATCCAAAAAGTTCTCATTAGTTACAACCCATTGCTGTCAAGCTGCCGACCAAATATAAAGCCATTCTGTTCTGTGGTTTCCTGAGAAAATTATGATGGAAATACTTCTTTGACAAACTGATTCCAATTTTTTCAAGAAGATATATAAACTGCACACATCAAATATATCATTAATGTCATCAAATACCTTCTAAAGCTTCATCATCCTCTACAAAATATTCTTTTAATGGTTTTCTTTTAGGTCTCTGAAAAAAAATGGAATTCAATAAGTTAATAGCAAGTCAAAAATGGAATAACGTTTGGGCTATACAAAAGAATTAACATCTTGACTTCTTGATTTTTTTTGGAGGGTTGCTGTCATATTGGTGTATATACCTCACATCTCACTTTATTCACAATACACAGAATGTAAACTTCTTTATTCATAATATCACAGAATGTAAAATTCACTGTTAATGTGTGCTGTTCTTTTAATTTTTTATATTCTTTTATAATTTTGTCTTGAATAGATCTTATTAAAAGCAGATGGTATATGATAAGGTCACCTTTTGGTAAATTGAATCAAACTAGAGGCTCTAAAGAGCCTGTGTCGCTCACCTTGGTCTATGTGCATATTAAACAAAGGACACAGATGGATTCATGACAAAATTGTGTTTTGGTGATGGTGATGTGTTTGTAGATCTTACTTTACTGAACATTCTTGCTGCTTACAATTATCTCTATTTATAATGAACTTGGCCCAGTAGTTACAGTGGAAAATATTTTGTAAAAATTTACAAAAATTTACAAAATTTATGAAAATTGTAAAAAATTAACTATAAAGGGCAATAACTCCTTAAGGGGTCAATTGACAATTTTGATCATGTTAACTTATTTGTAGATCTTACTTTGCTGTACATTATTGCTGTTTACAGTTTATCTTCATCTATAATAATATTCAAGATAATAACCAAAAGCTGCAAAATTTTCTTAAAATTACCAATTCAGGGGCAGCAACCCAACAACGTGTTGCCTAATTTGTCTGAAAATTTCAGGGCAGATAGATCTTGACCTAATGAACAATTTCATACCGACAGATTTGCTCTAAATGCTTTGGTTTCAGAGATATGAGCCAAACACTGCATTTTACCCTATGTACTATTTTTTAGCCATGTCGGCCATCTTTGTTCGCGGGCCGGGTCATCGGACACATTTTTTAAACTAGATACCCTAATGATGATTGTGGACAAGTTTGGTTAAATTTGTCTTAGTAGTTTCACAGGAGAAGATTTTTGTAAAAGATTACAAAAATTTACGAAAAATGGTTAAAAATTGACTATAAAGGGCAATAACTCCTTAAGGGGTCAATTGACAATTTTGGTCATGTTAACTTATTTGTAGATCTTACTTTGCTGAACATTATTGCTCTTTACAGTTTATCTTTATCTATAATAATATTCAAGATAATAACCAATAAAAACAGCAAAATTTCCTTAAAATTGCCAATTAAGGGGCAGCAACCCAACAACGGGTTGTCAGATTCATCTGAAAATTTCAGGGCAGATAGATCTTGACCTGATTAACAATTTTATACTCTAAATGCTTTGGTTTCAGAGATATGAGCCAAACACTGCATTTTAACCTATGTACTATTTTTTAGCCATGTCGGCCATCTTTGTTCGCGGGCCGGGTCATCGGACACATTTTTTAAACTAGATACCCTAATGATGATTGTGGACAACTTTGGTTTAATTTGGCCAAGTAGTTTCAGAGAAGAAGATTTTTGTAAAAGATAACGACGACGGACTACGACGACGAAGACGACGGACGCCAAGTGATGAGAAAGCTCATAGGTGAGCTAAAAATAATTTGATATTGATTTTAGTTATTGTTGAAGGCTGTATGGTGACCTATAGTTGTTAACTTCTATATTATTTGGTCTCTGGTGGAGAGTAGTCTCATAGGCAATTATACCACATCTTCTTATTTTATAAGTATTATAAATCTATCAAATAACATGCTTCAGGTGTTAATAAGACATTAGTTATTTTATTTGTGAATTGTTTATCAAATATTTGCTTAAAGGCTGCAAACTTCTATGAAAACTTGTCATTACTATCTAGATACAAGACCAGACTTTCTATAAAAAGGTATTTTCTACAAGATGTCTCACATAAAGATTTAAATGTGGTAAAACATCTTTTCAGGGAACTGCAAGGCCTTGCCTCATGCCGAACTTTGTCTATCTTAAGTCAAATATGTCAATTTCAACATGTTTAAATCACAGTGATATTACAACAACATTTCTTTTCTAATGTGTATCATCCTTTTCATTTATCAATAAATCTGGCACGTTTGAAAAGGTTGAAGAATTTTAATATTTTGGGAATGTCTAGGGCCAGACATTGGCTCTTTTTTTTCACAATCATTCTTAAATAAAATGCTCCGCTGGGTGCAGCTTGATACGACCACAGAGGTCGAACCCTGAACAGTTGGGGCAAGTATGGACACAACATTCAAGCTTGATACAGCACTGAATTTGGATTGTGATTAAATATTTGACACAGCATAGGTTTCTGACACAGAATGAATGTGGTCTAAGAACTTAAAATTTTTTAATTTACCTATTCAAACCATATCATTATTATTTGCTTTTATATATAAATCAGAAATAACCAATTTAAAATGGAAAATTTTAAAGAAAAAAAAAGGGAAAAAAAAATCCCCCCCTATTTTTTTGAACCCCTTTATGATTCATCACCCCCAAACTCAATCCCAGCCTTCCCTTTGTGGTATGGTACCTTGCAGTACAATTTCATAGAGATCCATAAACTTGAACACAAGTTATTGTCTGGAAACTAGAAAAATGCTTGTTTTTTGGCCCCTTTTTGGCCCCATATTCCTAAACATTTAGGGCAATTACCTCCAAACTCAAACCCAGCTTTCCCTTTGTGATATGGAACCTTGTAGTACAATTTCATAAAGATCCATACACTTACACACAAGTTATTGTCCTGAAGCTAGAAAAATGCTTGTTTTTTGCCCTGTTTTGGCCCCTAATTTCTAAAATTTTGAGGCAATTACCCCCAAAATCAATCCCAGCCTTCCCTTTGAGGTATGGTACCTTGCAGTATAATTTCAGAGAGATCCATACACTTGAACACAAGTTTTTGTCTGGAAACTAGAAAAATGCTTAAAAATGCCCCCTTTTGGCCCCTTATTCCTAATGAGGCGATTACCCCCAATATCAATCCAAACATTCCCTTTGTGATATGGAACCTTGCAGTACAATTTCAGAGAGATCCATACACTTGAACACAAGTTATTGTCTGGAAACTAGAAAAATGCTTATTTTTGGCCCCTTACTCCTAAACGTTTTGGGCAATTACCCCCAAACTCGATTCCAGCTTTCCCTTTGTGATATGCAACCTTGTAGTACAATTTCAGAAAGATCCATAGACTAACACACAAGTTATTGTCATAAAACTAGAAAAATGCTTGTTTTTTGCCCCTTTTTTAGCCCCTAATTCCTAATATTTTGAGGCAATTACACCCAAAACCATTCCAAGCATTCCCTTTGTGATATGGAACCTTGTGGTACAATGTTAGAGAGATCCATACACTAACACACAAGTTATGTCTGGAAGTTACAAAAATTCTTATTTTTGGCCCCTTTTTGGCCCCTAATTCCTTAACTGTTGGTACCATAACCCCCAAAATCAATCCCAAGCTTCCTTTTGTGGTATTGAACCTTATGGTAAAATTTCATAGAGATCCATCCACTTAAACTAAAGTTAGAGTGAGAAACCAATGTGTCTTCGGACGACGATGATGACGATGCCGGACGACGACGACGAAGATGAAGACGCCAACGTCATACCATATACGACCACAAAATTTTTTTGCGATCATATAAAAATATAATGTACCTACTTTTAATGTGTTGAGCAATTGTTGAATCTTGGCAGAAACTTTTCCTTGGTGTCTTGAGCCTGTAAAAAATACTCAATTAAAGTGCAATAAACTGTGAAGACTATATTTGTCATAACAAATGTACTTGGATTCTATGCATAAATTTTGAAATTTGCTGATAATTTAAATTCTCCAAACATTGTGCAATCTTGCACATACATTTAAAACATTTCTCTCTCTGATAGTTGGACCATGTCTTCACACTTGCAATGTGATCACATTTAAATTTAGTATGTAATATCAATTTGTTCCAACAGGTTCTCTCTTTGAAGCTATCTATAAAGGTAACTACTTTTCTAATCAGCAAAGATACCTATGTTTATTTTTTTATAACGCTGATTAATATAATGTATTGTACATTTTCTGTTAAAAAAGACATCACTTTTATGAAAATGTTTCAATTTTGAATTTCAGAAGCAAGCTATCTTTAGCAGGTAAGAAAACAAGCAATGTTATGTGAGATGTAATCTCATCTAATCCTAACACAAACCTTAACAGAATACAAAATTTGTCAGGTGTCTGTAAATTTTCATTCTTCAACTTTCTCCAATGTAAAATATTGATTTGACTTTTGTAGACTTTTTATTTTAACTTACCATTAACATCCTCCATCCCAGTCACAATGTCTGTGTTAGTCATCCTTACAGAGGAGACGTGTGAGGCAGTGTAGGGTCCGACACAATCAGCTTGTCTCATACTTAACTTACCATTAGCATCCTCCATCCCAGTCACAATGCCTGTGTTAGTCATCCTTACAGATGAGACATGTGAGGCAGTGTACGGTCCTACACGATCAGCTTGTCTCATACTTAACTTACCATTAACATCCTCCATCCCAGTCACAATGCCTGTGTTAGTCATCCTTACAGATGAGACATGTGAGGCAGTGTACGGTCCGACACGATCAGCTTGTCTCATACTTAACTTACCATTAACATCCTCCATCCCAGTCACAATGCCTGTGTTAGTCATCCTTACAGATGAGACATGTGAGGCAGTGTACGGTCCGACACGATCAGCTTGTCTCATACTTAACTTACCATTAGCATCCTCCATCCCAGTCACAATGCCTGTGTTAGTCATCCTTACAGAGGAGACGTGTGAGGCAGTGTAGGGTCCTACACGATCAGCTTGTCTCATACTTAACTTACCATTAGCATCCTCCATCCCAGTCACAATGCCTGTGTTAGTCATCCTTACAGAGGAGACGTGTGAGGCAGCGTAGGGTCCGACACGATCAGCTTGTCTCATACTTAACTTACCATTAGCATCCTCCATCCCAGTCACAGTGCCTGTATTAGTCATCCTTACAGAGGAGACGTGTGAGGCAGCGTAGGGTCCGACACGATTAGCTTGTCTCATACTTAACTTACCATTAGCATCCTCCATCCCAGTCACAGTGCCTGTATTAGTCATCCTTACAGATGAGACATGTGAGGCAGCGTAGGGTCCGACACGATCGGCTTGTCTCATACTTAACTTACCATTAGCATCCTCCATCCCAGTCACAATGCCTGTGTTAGTCATCCTTACAGAGGAGACGTGTGAGGCAGCGTAGGGTCCGACACGATTAGCTTGTCTCATACTTAACTTACCATTAGCATCCTCCATCCCAGTCACAGTGCCTGTATTAGTCATCCTTACAGATGAGACATGTGAGGCAGCGTAGGGTCCGACACGATCGGCTTGTCTCATACTCTTTGCATTGTTGGTTACATCAGGTGGTTGTGAAATTGGTTGTGCTGTAACAATATCAATATATACAATTACATCAGTTGTTTATTTCCTTGAATCTCAGCAATGGGATTGGTGTAAAGTTAATGACATAAAAATTAAGTCTTCAAAACTAAATGAAGCCTAAAATACATGCTGACAGTGCTCTTGCTAAGGCATTTCAATTAAGCTGCCCTGATCATTTAATATTAATTGAGAAATTTTTTGCTTGCATTTATTACAATATATTATAACAATATCAACAATGGATAGGAAATTACGGTTAAGGTGGTACCCAACACCTTGACTAATATTAATTTGGCTCGTTTAATTTTCATAAAATTTTGACAAAATGTTTACTTTGACCCTTTGACAAAAATATAAAAATTTCAAAAAATGTCAACCAACCACTTTATCAGAAAAATTTCATTGGTTATATAGCAGTTTGACAAACACTAATTTTGATCATTGAGAAGCTTAATATTTCCTTAACAATACAACGTAATTAAAACGTTAAGCTGATTTTTACAGAGTTATCTCCCTGTAGTGTTAGGTACCACCTTAATAATTGTGATTTCAGTAATCTTTTTCATACAAATAACATAAATAATGCTATCAAAATTTAAAATGCAAGATTTATATACCGCAATAGGCCATGTATAGTTACTTATCCTACTCTATAGTCCGCACCCCGGTCTGGCAGGTTAAATTTTGTAGAAAAAAACGTATACTATACAAGCCTGAATTTAGTATGCGAACCTTATAGACATAATGTTTTAAAATTCAAAACACTGTTTAGCTCCAAAAAACCAAAAACACTCAGACAGCTTTGCAATTTCATATGATGTATCAACAGTAAAATGACTCCTACTCAACCATAATTTCAACATATTTAAACTATTTCTTTAAACATGTTTATTTACTTTATTTGTGTGTGCATATATTTTCATATTTTCATTTATTTTTATCTTTTTTTATTTATTTTATTTTTTTAATGTTTTTTTCATGTTATCACATCTAATATTTTGTATGCATGTTTTTAACTTCTCTGTTACCTTTGTACTTGCATGGTTTTATGAGAATAAACGATCTATCTCTAGTATTACAATACTACAAAACAAAAAAACGTCACAAAAAAATCTGAATTTACAGTACATCTTCATCTTGATCATATCAGAACTTATTTTTAAATATGAAATACTGTTTAAGCAGATGGCAAATATTTCTGCTTGAAAAACCTATTGAAAATTTCTTAATACTTTGATGCTTTTTTTTTGCAATTCTTGAAGACAAGAAAGTTACATCAGCAGTGCTTATTGTTTCATGGTTTCTTTCATTAACAATAGGACCAGGAACGTAAAGATCTGTTGCAAGGGTTCTTAAAGGAACAAACAGCATTGCACTCTACCTACTACAGGGCAATAATGCCTACAAGTTTGGAAACAAGATGTGACAAAGTAATATTGTAGGAAATGGTGTTAGAATCTGATGTACAGTAGTTGTCGTCTGTTTATGTAGTTCATACGTGTTTCTCATTTCTCGTTTTTATATAGATTAGACCGTTGGTTTTCCCGTTTGAATGGTTTTACACTAGTAATTTTTGGGGCCCTTTATAGCTTGCTGTTCGGTGTGACCCAAGGCTCCGTGTTGAAGGCCGTACCTTGACCTATAATGGTTTACTTTTATAAATTGTTGCTTAGATGGAGAGTTGTCTCATTGGCACTCATACCACATCTTCCTATATCTATTAGATTCAGTTGCCTGAACAACATGAAGATAATTGAAGTTTGCAGTGTTTCATCCTCCCCCGACCCCCCTCCCTTAAAAGTTTGGAAATAAGTAAATGTACTTACAATGTCTGGAATGGTGGACATCTGATACAGCCCTAGAGGTGTTGCCAGGTAAAAAGAACATTGCACTTTGTGGTCTTTGGTCACGCCCCTGGTGGTGAGGGGAATGGTCAGAGTAGGAAGACGAACTAGCACCACTATCACGTAACCTCCCACCTCGTAGAAAATCACGATTCTGGTCTTCACCGAATATACTGTCATCATCAGATGAAGATTCTAAAATGAAATATCACAGGTATGAGAGATTTTATTAATAGTAAAGAGAATTCATAAAATATAAATCTGACTCTGAAACAGAAATATATAAGTAAAAGTGTGAGCAACTGCTCACTAACAGTACCTCTGCTTTAAGATTTCGGTAAGTAGGAAGTTGATGAGCAATGAATCTGAAAACATATATATCTCATGGTAAAGTATGGTCACATAAAGCCTGAAAACAAATTTCAGCACACTACAGCATGTTCATATGAAAACTGATAATAAATTTTAGGAAGTTCTGATTTGTAAATCCTGAGAAAAATGTGAACGAAATTCATGGGATGGATAGACATACGGACTGACAAACATATGGACAGACTGAGGTAAAACAGTATACCCCCTCCTTCCAAGCAGGGCTATAGAAACAAATTGGTTCAGAATTCTTAAAATTGATATGCATTTATTTTGTATCAAGGAACACAATACCAAATACTATCACATAAATTTAAAGTTGCATAAAAATCATCAGTGACTTGCATTTTCTAAAGAATGAAACATTCAAGATTTAGATGCAACATGGAGATTTAAGAACTGCAGCATTATTTCTCAAATATTACCATGTCTTTGACGTTCTTGGCCTTTATAATTAACTGATGTACGTTTTGAAGGTAATGGCATCACTGGTACCCTTTTGTTGTACTGAGCTAGAGCCTGCATCACTGCTTCCGTTCGCACTTCTGTAAAAGTTAAAATATTCTTTATATCAACAATGAACCTGGATTATTAAACTAAACTGATTTCGGAACCAAATCTTTATTATGTTTAACATAAAATGTTGGGTTGCTGTCTCGTTGACCTTAACCACACAAATCTCCTTTTTTGTTCTTATTTACATTGTAGTAAACAATTTTGTTTTGGATACAACCTTCATCGTACATGAGGGGCCTGGATGGCTGAGTAGTCTAATTAGTCAAACTACTGTATCACTAGCCAGTAAACACTAAGGTTGTAAGTTCGAATCCCGCACATGGCAGGTGCGATCAACTCCAATCTTTATTGACTATGATTGTCAGTTTTCCTATCGAAGGTAGTGGTTCTCTATTGGCTATTTCTTGGTGGCTAGTTTTTATTGGTAGAGGAAAAAATCAGGTTAACCATGGCTATCTTTCTTCAATATTACTATATGTAAAAGGTACATAGAAACCTGCAGATTTTGTTTTAATTAGCCAGAATTTCTGCTTTTACAGGTTAAAATTTCAAATCAATTCCTAATACAAAAGTTGTCACTTGAGTTCAGTCTACACTGGGTTCTGATTAAACAGATTTTACTGTATATGATTTTACAATGTATGAATTCCTAATACAAAAGTTGTCAGCTGAGTTCAGTTTACACTGGGTTCTGATTAAACAGATTTTACTGTATATGATTTTACAATGTATGAATTCCTAATACAAAAGTTGTCAGCTGAGTTCAGTCTACACTGGGTTCTGATTAAACAGATTTTACTGTATATGATTTTACAATGTATGAATTCCTAATACAAAAGTTGTCAGTTGAGTGTAGTCTACACTGGGTTCTGATTAAACAGATTTTACTGTATATGATTTTACAATGTATGAATTCCTAATACAAAAGTTGTCACTTGAGTTCAGTCTACACTGGGTTCTGATTAAACAGATTTTACTGTATATGATTTTACAATGTATGAATTCCTAATACAAAAGTTGTCAGTCTAGCTTAGTCTACCCTGGGTTCTGATTAAACAGATTTTACTGTATATGATTTTACAATGTATGAATTCCTAAAAATTAATACAAAAGTTGTCAGTAGAGTGCAAGTCTACACTGGGTTCTGATTAAAAAGATTTTACTGTATATGATTTTACAACATATGAATTCCTAATAAAAAAGTTGTCAGTCTAGCTTATTTTAGTCTACACTGGGTTCTGATTAAACAGGTTTTACTGTCTATGATTTTATGAATTAATGAAAGACATTCATATCCAGTCTTAAATTGAATGTAAAATTCTCTCAAGTACATCAAATTCCTGTTTTTACATTTACTTAATATGATGAAAACATAAACAAAAATAAACTACTATAAAACCATATAATTATCATGATTATACACACACATGTTTATCCAGACTTAAACCAGTTAATGAGCTGCAATTTGTACAAAATTATAATGTCAAAAAGTTCTGCCTCAATGCTTTTCAATTAGAGGGATTTTTTTTCCCGTTAATTGATAAAATTGTAACCTTTTAACATACCGACATTTACAAACAGCTTAAAACATGTCATTTTATATACATTTATCAAGGAAGTTCATGCTGACTTTTAGGATTGTCACAAGATGTCATTAGGGAAAAAGTCAAAATCAAGTTTTAAAAATTTGAATAATGAGATGTGGGGAACATTAGATAACAACCCAAAATCTTGACACAAATAACCAAAAGTCATCAAACTTGTAGCAAGATTTAAAACTTTCAGAAAAAAAATAAAGACATCCTTTCAAACCCCCCCCCCCCCCCCCCCCCCCCCCCCCCCCCCCCCCCCCCCCCCTTTTGCTAATGGAAGTCAGGAGATTGTAGTTTAGTGGTTGTCATTGATTCATGTCGATCATATTTGTCTTTTCTTAAATTGTTTTGTTATATATTAGGCTGTTTTCTTCTTTGAATTGTTTCAGGTTTTTCATGTTGGGGCCTTTTGTAGCGGACATACAGAATGGGTTTTTCTCATTGTTTGAAGGCCATATGGTTGCCTATAATTGCTTACATCCATCTCATTTGATCTCTGGAGGATAGTTGTCTCGTTGACAATCATACCATATCTCCTTATTTTTACATCAACATACATAAAAGGGGGGTTCAAAGGGAAACCTTGTAAAAGATTTTCTGTCAATATGGCAGACTTGAGAAAAACAGATATAAAGCGATGTTAGGAAATTTATTGTTACAGCTCATGCCTCTCTTGCAGCATACTAAATTGAATTATTCCAATTTTACCCAGTGGCTGATTCAAGGGGCATACACTCCCCCTTTTTGATTGCCAAAAAATATTAATTATATCATGATTTTCACAATTGGTATGAATTTTTTAGCATAAAATTGTCAAATTTTTTTTATATAATCGGTTTTAGGGAATACCACCTTTCAAAAATCCTGGAATGGATCCGCTAGTATAAACCATATCAGATGTGACCTCGTCAGTAGCTGTCATTTTTCATGTCTAAATTTTTTTATTTGCTACATTAAAATTTAATATTGAAGGTAGACTTTCAATAGTTTCTGTTTAAAATATTCACAAGATTTTAGTGCTTGGTTTATTGTACAAGCACCAATTGTCTATTGATGAAGATTTTCTCTACTCTTTAAGTTGATTGTGTCATTGAGTTGCTGTCTCATTGAAGTCCACCCCACAAAGTTATTTCATGAATTTATCAGGTACAATTTCTAAGGATTAATGAAAGGTCTGTCAAGAATTGCTTCAAATGCATGAATTGTACACAATTTGAAGCTGTTTACAAACCAAGTGTATTTACCTGAATGATATCTGTTGTCTTCCCTTGTGACCCTCCTGGCCTCTTTTCTGTTTGCAGCTGTTTTTGGACTGGGTGCATTTTGCCCTACAAAAGAAATTTATTGTTTAAAGAACACACATGTATATATCCAAAGACTGGAATCTCATCAGTCCTTACAGGAGTTAATTTGATACTTTTTTTGGGGGGTGGGGGGATGGAATTTAAACAACCACATGATCAATTATTATACAATTCTTAAGAATCAAAATTAAAATAGTACCTCAAATTAAGGCCCTTTAATTATTTATGATGATAAATATTTGATATTTTTGGCTCTCAAACTTTTGGTCTCGAGTGTGTACCTGAAGGAGATTATTCAAGAAACACTTGATGTGCACACAGAAGTCCTAACATACTGTTGTAAAAAGATAAAGGTATTAATCATACAGATACTTCAACAGAAGTGTCTTTTAAATTGACCTCATTCATTTCATTTATAGGCAAATGTCAAACATAAGATTTTATACTGCTACTTGTAAAATGATTATGAATGAACTTTTAGTATTTTAAAGCCTTCTGTTGTGAGATGTTTAATCTTGTGGATATAAAGTGATCATAAAGAAGAATCAGATTTATATAGCTCGTTTGGATATGGTTTTTTTTACATGCATGTCAATCATAACAAGCAGGCCACCCAAATTTAACCTCACACGCAGCATCGTTGTCAATATAATGGAATTTGATGCGACTGTCATACAAGTGAAAGGTTTAGCTAGCTATAAAACCAGGTTCAATCCACCATTTTCTACATAAGAAAATGCTGGTACCAAGTCAGGAATATGACAGTTGTTATCCATTCGTTTGATGTGTTTGTTTTTATTGATTTTGCCATTAGATTGGGGACTGGGAGTTCAGTATTTTTGTGATTTTACTTTTTTTGGTAAAAATATCAAATACTAAATCTTATTTATCTAGGGTAATCATATTGTTATATGTTTTCCATTCTTGTGATAAAAGATAAATGCATGACCATTCCCAAAAAATTAGCACAGGGTACATTAAGCTAGATAATTGTCTCTATTTTGCTACCTAATTACAATCATTTAGTCAGAAGGATCTGTATAAAAACAAGAATATGCCCATAGTACATGGATGCCCCAATCTCACTATCATTTTCTGTGTTCAGTGGACCGTGAAATTGGGGTAAAAACTCTAAATTTGCATTAAAATTAGAAAGATCATATCATAGGGAACACGTGTACTAAGTTTCAAGTTGATTGGACTTCAACTTCATCAAAAACTACCTTGACCAAAAACTTTAACCTGAAGCCAGACAGACGGACGGACGGACAAACGGACGGACAGACCAATGAACGGACGCACAGACCAGACAACATAATGCCCCTTCTACAATCGTAGGTGGGGTATGAAAAAATCAGAATTTATGACGTTATTTAACCTAACTATAAATCTGACTTTTTTTTTATAAGATTGGAGACAGATGTGTCAAAAGAAATCCTGAGAATGAGAGAGAACAAGAGAGAGAAAGAGAATGCAAGACTCGTATCATCTACATTGGAAGTTAAGTATATCATCACCATATGTTGTAATTTACAATCCAATACTTCAATACCTTGTAATGATTCGGATTGGAAGAGAATCATGTTAAATGTAAAGAGAGAAATAGAGACTTGTATTATCTAAATTAGAAGTTAAAAATATAATTACAACTGCCAATTCTTTGTTAATGATTCAGAGTGGAAGTGAATCATGTTAAATAGAGAGAGAGAGAGAGAGAGAGAAAGAGAGAGAGAGAGGTTAAAAATATCATTATGTGTACAACTGGATTAATTTACAATCTAATACTTTGTTGCTTTGTAATGATTCAGAGTGGAAGTGAATCATGTTAAATGTAAACAAAAAGTTTATACAAACACCTGGTCAATGTATGACTCCTTGATCTACCATTTAACCGTTACTTATGAATAATAAAGCACTAATCTAAATAAACCTTAGGCTACTCTTCATATAGTTTTCTCTCACTGTAATAAGACCTTAACTCATTTTGATAAACAAAAGATTGATATTAAAGAATAAAGTAAAATTGTGTTCAACTTGATAACTTTACATTCAAACATCATTTTGCAGTGTTTGTAGTTTCTAGTGATGAGAGGATACTGCACTTGGCCTTTTAACTTTTTGATTCGAGCCTCACTGATGAGTCTTTTGTAGACATTTGGCATACAAAGTTATAAACCAGGTTTCTTTGATTTTTTTTGTAACAAATTTTCTTTGGTCCTTGTGTATCATTTTCAGTATAAGCTGTATGTCTGTTGTGCATAAATGTAAGATAAGATAAGATAATTTTATTGGTTCAAAATCCAAAACTATAGGATTGTTACCAAGACAATACAAAAACATACAAACAAAATCTGACCACATTTATAAACATTATATATATATAACTGTATATCCCCTCCATTATAAAAAGAAAATATTGTTACAATAATAAATGAATAAAATTGAGAATGGAAATGGGGAATGTGTCAAAGAGACAACAACCCGACCATAGAACAGACAACAGCAGAAGGTCACCAACAGGTCTTCAATGCAGCGAGAAATTCCCGCACCCGGAGGCGTCCTTCAGCTGGCCCCTAAACTAATATATATACTAGTTCAGTGATAATGAATGCCATACTAAACTCCAAATCGTACACAAAAACTAAAATTAATAAAATGCTCCGCAAGGCGCAGCTTGATATGACCGCAGAGGTCGAACCCTGAACAGTTGGGGCAAGTATGGACACAACATTCAAGCTTGATACAGCTCTGAATTTGGATTATGATTAAATATTTGACACAGCATAGGTTTCTGACACAGAATGAATGTGGTCTAAGAACTTAAAAATTTTAAATTGGACATTCAACTATTATGGTCCAATATCCAAAATCTAAATACATGGTTAGATTCAGCATATCAAAGAACCCCAAGAATTCAATTTTTGATGAAATCAAACAAAGTTTAATTTTGGACCCTTTTGACCTCAATGTGGACAAAGTTGATAATGGGGCCCAAAAATCAAAAATCTAAATACATGGTTAGATTCAGCATATCAAAGAACCCCATATATTCAATTTTTGTTGAAATCAAACAAAGTTTAATTTTGGACCCCGATTTGGACCAACTTGAAAACTGGGCCCATAATCAAAAATCTAAATACATGTTTAGAATCAGCATATCAAAGAACCCTAAGAATTCAATTTTTGTTAAAATCAAACTAAGTTTAATTTTGGACCCTTTGGACCTTAATGTAGACCAATTTGAAAACAGAACCAAAATTTAAGAATCTAAATACACGGTTAGATTCGGCATATCAAAGAACCCCAATAATTCAATTTTTGATGAAATCAAACAAAGTTTAATTTTGGACCCTTTGGACCTCAATGTGGACCAATTTAAAAACGGGGCCCAAAATCCAAAAACTTAATACACGGTTAGAATCAGCATATTAAAGAACCCCAAGAATTCAAGAATAAAACCCCATTGAAATTGATCAAGAAATAAGCAATTTACACGAAGTATCTTCTTTTGCACAATACTGTGCAATTGAATATTTCTTGCTATTGCGCAATACTGTACAATTGACAATTTCTTGCTATTGCGCAATATTGTGCTATTGGATATTTCTTGCTATTGCACAATACTGTGCAATTGAAGATTTCTTGCTATTGCGCAATACTGTGCAATTGAAGATTTCTTGCTATTGTGCAATACTGTGCAATTGAAAATTTCTTGCTATTGCACAATACTTATTTTATAATAATTTACACATCCTGTTTGGTGTGTATCTCCTACCATATCATTATTATTTGCTTTTAAATATAAAACAGAAATAACCAACTTAAAATGGAAAATTTTAAAAGAAAAAAAAAGGAAAAAAAGAAAAAAAAGGAAAAAAAAAATAAATCCCCCCCCCCCAATTTTTTGAACCCCCTTATGATTCATCACCCCCAAACTCAATCCCAGCCTTCCCTTTGTGGTATGGTACCTTGTAGTACAATTTCAGAGAGATCCATACACTTGAACACAAGTTATTGTCTGGAAACTAGAAAAATGCTTATTTTTGGCCCCTTTTTGGCCCCTTATTCCTAAACGTTTTGGGCAATTACCCCCAAACTCAATTCCAGCTTTCCCTTTGTGATATGGAACCTTGTAGTACAATTTCAGAAAGATCCATACACTTACACACAAGTTATTATCTTGAAACTAGAAAAATGCTTGTTTTTTGCCCCTTTTTGGGCCCCTAATTCCTAATATTTTGAGGCAATTACCCCCAAAATCAATCCCAGCATTCCCTGTGTGATATGGAACCTTGTGGTACAATGTCAGAGAGATCCATACACTTGAACACAAGTTATTGTCTGGAAACTAGAAAAATGCTTATTTTTGGCCCCTTTTTGGCCCCTTATTCCTAAACGTTTTGGGCAATTACCCCCAAATTCAATTCCAGCTTTCCCTTCGTGATATGGAACCTTGTAGTACAATTTCAGAAAGATCCATACACTTACACACAAGTTATTGTCATGAAACTAGAAAAATGCTTGTTTTTTGCCCCTTTTTTGGCCCCTAATTCCTAATATTTTGAGGCAATTACCCCCAAAATTAATCCCAGCATTCCCTGTGTGATATGGAACCTTGTGGTACAATGTCAGAGAGATCCATACACTAACACACAAGTTATGTCTGGAAGTTACAAAAATGCTTATTTTTGGCCCTTTTTTGGCCCCTAATTCCTTAACTGTTGGTACCATAACCCCCAAAATCAATCCCAACCTTCCTTTTGTGGTATTGAACCTTATGGTAAAATTTCATAGAGATCCATTCACTTAAACTAAAGTTAGAGTGCGAAAACCAATGTGTCTTCGGACGACGACGACGACGCCAACGTCATACCAATATAAGACCGCAAAAATTTTTGCGGTCGTATAAAAATAATACAAGACTGACAAAGGCTAAGGGCTCCTGACTTGGGACAGGCGCAAAAATGCGGCGGGGTTAAACATGTTTATGAGATCTCAACCCTCCCCCTATACCTCTAGCCAATGTAGAAAAGTAAACGCATAACAATACGCACATTAAAATTCAGGTCAAGAGAAGTCCGAATGTATACTACATGTATAAATATGTATGCTACATGTATAAATATGTATGCTACATGTATAAATATGTATGCTACATGTATAAATATGTATGCTACATGTATAAATATGTATGCTACATGTATACATTAAATGTCTGTGTAATATAAACTCTGTTTATTATTCTTTCTCTTGTTTTTTCAAAAATGTTTGTACCTTGTATTCATAGCAATAATTAATTATACTACCGCTCTAGATCCTATGTTTAACACAAATTTAACAAGTCAGGAGCCTGTAGTTCAGTGGTTATTGTTGGTTAAATGTCTGTTATATTTGTTTTTCATGTATTCTTTTGTTATAAATTTGGCCGACATTAGGCCATTGGTTTTCTTGTTTTCTTGTTTGGTTTTTTTTTCATGTTGTGACCTTTTATAGCCAAATATACAGTATGGGTTTTTTTTCATTGTTAAAGGCCAAAGTGCTTATATCCACTAATTTGGGTGTTAAAATTTTAAGAAAAGAGAAAAATGGTAAAGATCAATAAAGAATAAAGAAAAATACTCTTCAAAATTAAAGAAAAAAGTAATCAAGAACACCCACATCCCCTTCAAACCCTCCATAATCACCAAGAATCTAAAAAACAAATTGCAAAGAATGTATAACTGTCAAATTCTTGAAAGAGTTTTTAAAGAGTCCCAAACCTTTATAACTCAATCTTCTTAGAACATGTATAGTTATAAAAAGATAAAGTTGCCCTTCAACTGTAGCTAATGTAAATTTGCATAAGGATTTTAGGGAAGAAATATTTTCAATGAAATTGATTTTGACTTAAATTTAAGAACTTTAAGAAGATATGTTTAAACATGTTAAAGGAGATTTTGTATTTTGTATGACATTTTAGAGGAGTTTTTGTATAAATTTTGTATGACAATCTTTCTTGCATAATTCATTACATAATATACTATTCTATTCTTTTATTGAGCATACATTTGTAAATTCCTTGAAACAATGTGATGTTTCCCTACCAAGTTAACCGATTTTTTAAAAGTTAAAACAATGTGCGTAATGTCACGAGATGACTTTTAGTAATGAAATGCCAACAAAGCAATTTAACTGTGTATAGCTATAAAAAGATAAAGCTGACCTTTCAACTGTAGCTAAAATACATTTGCATAAGGATTTTATGGAAGAAATATTTTCAATGAAATTGATTTTGACTTTAAGGTGACACGTTCAAAGGGAGTTTTCGATCAAAAAAGGAAATGTTCACTGCTTAAACAGGGGCACAGCCTACTAAATTTGGTAACGGGGCCCCTAAAATAACATTACAAGAAGTGTCCAGACAACTAAATCCAATGTCCATGAAAAGTCAATCTACTTGAACTTTAATTTACATAAGTAAAATCTGTAAGACCTAATTGTTCACAAATGTACAAAAAATCAAATAAATATCTACTGGCATAACTACAAAAAGTAATTTGAAAATGACACAAAGATCTACAGGACAGACATGGGATTTGCTTGACCTGGTGGAAAGAACTACAGTGACCTATAATTGTTAACATCCTCATCCTTTGGCCTGGTGGATAGTTGTCTCATTGGCAATCATACCACATCTCTTTGTTTATACATGGGTTACAATATATGGTTACTCTTGAGGTTCATATAAATTTATAATATCCTAGCTACTAATCCATCTCCTGATCTAGTACAAGTCTGCAAATTGTTGAAGACAGTACAGTGACCTATATTTCAACTTTTTTCCTGTCATTTTATTTTAGTCTTTGTTGGGTATACGTAGCTGTCTTAAGGGCATTACTGGTATTTCCTTATTATTTTCATTATAATTTTATATAAATTTACTCTACGACATCTTACTGTAGGCAGTGCATTCATTAATACCCGGTACCCGGTACTTTTACCCGCCTACGGAAGCGTCTGGTACCGGCAGAAAAAATAAAAATACAAAAAAAAAATGTGTAAAATTCTTTTGAAGATCGTTCAAATCTAATTTCTTTCATTCCTTGACAATCTCCCTTCTACGCCGTTCATGTGTATGTTTATAGGTGTCTTCGTCGAGGTCCGCGTTAAAGTATAGATCTATCTTCTGCCAATTTAGGCACACCTCCAAAGTAGGAGAAGTGATAATTACAAACCATGTGTCTGTATCTGTATCGTAAGAGCGCTTTAAAATGCGACGATTTAGCAGTATATTTTCAAGCGGCAAATTGTTGATGAATTTAAACAACAACAGCAATATTATGTCTAATAAAAGGAAAGCAGCTTGTATCACAGATTATTTTATGAATAAAAGGTTTAATAAAGGTGAACATTCTATGAAATTCAGAAAAATCGTTAATCGTATCAAATCAGTTCGTTTCCCGTTGGACGTTGTCACTGATCTCCGTTTTCACGATATGTGTTCTATGTTGTGATTGAATTTTTTAGTGTAAGACATCGTGAAACATTTTACAATCTGAACTAACATTAACTGTTACGTTTACAAAATATAACATCTGACGAGATTTAAGACTTCTAAAATTAAAAAAAAAAAGAGGGCTAAGAAGAAGTGAAAATTTTTTTTTTTTTACTTACTATAGTCAAGAATCCTATGATTAATTTGCCCCCCCCCCCCCCCCCCCCATTTCACAATCACCCCTTTTTATGAATATTAAAGTTAAGTGAAAGTTGAATACATGTTGTTTTTTTCGGACAAGAACAACCATCACAACACTTAGCATATATCAAAAACGTTTGTTTGTTGTTTTGCATGAGAGCATGTTTATTGTTTATTTTGTTTAATTGTTTGCATGACACTGTTAAATTACTTACACAAACAATTGACACAGTTATGATTATAACAAAGCAATAAAAAAAAAGTTACAACAAGTTTTATTATCAATATTTTTTAATAATATACTATGTAACTTATGAAATTTCATTCACAAAATTGAACAAATGCAAAACATTTAATAAAAGTATAAAAACGAACAAAACATTTAAACAACATTTCACATGAAACCCCTGCGTTATAGGTCATACCATGGAAGTATTATATTGACAATATAATACTTCCATGGTCATACATATTTTATAACTGATTACAAAATAATTATAAGCAATGTATTTTCAGATGATTACTCTAGCATGTCTAGAAAAAAAACAATTCAATGTTAACTTACCCAAAATTGAAGCAAATATTACAGACTTTACCCTATTTTTTTAAGCAAAAAATTAAGGCTGAAATCCCTAAAATCCATGAGCTTAAGGGGGGCTTTGCCCCCCTGGTCCCCCTACCAGGGCTAGCCCTGGACCCACTGGGGGCCTTAAGCGGCCCCCAGACCCCTTGCCGTTTAAGTTTGGTTCCCCCTATAATCTCAAAGGTACCTCCAGTCTAAAAAAATAATGAAACCCCTGTGTAGGCTAAGACAGACTATGTTTTTTCTTTGATGTAAGTGGCCAACAGGGCTAATCTATCAAAACTTGGCAAATGATTAGATATTGAGTACAGTTTTTAATTGTATTTTCCTGTTATGGTAAATTTTGAAATATTCAAAAATATTTCCCACAGGAAAGTAAATTTTTTAAATTCTTCTTTCGTTATTAATGAGAGCAAGTTTTGCAGGTAGAATATGATGAAGAAATTTAATCAAAGATAAATGGGGAATGTGTCCATGGGACACAGATGATGCCCCTGCTTCCATATAACATTATAAAGGGACTTAACTCAAGAACCGTAGAAGTAAAGCTACCCAAATTTGTACTTGATCAGAGTTTTGTGGAAATAAGCGTTGTGTATAAGTTTCATAACATTTGGTTGAGGCAAACTTAAAAGAGAACGGAAACGAAAAATTCACAATTTTTTCCATTTGTAAAGGGGCATAACTCTAGAACGATAAAAGTGACGCCACCAGAATTCAAACTTGATCTGTGTTTTGTAGTAATAAGCATTGTGTATAAGATTCATAACATTTTGTTGAGGCAAACTTGTTAGAGAACGGAAACGAAAAATTCAGCGATTTTTCGATTTGTAAAGGGGCATAACTCTAGAACGGTAAAAGTGACGCCACCAAAATTCAAACTTGATCTGTGTTTTGTGGTAATAAGCATTGTGTATAAGGAGAACAGAAACCAATTTTAGGACGTACGGACTGACGGACATAGGGACGGACAAGGGTAAAACTTAATGCCCCCTCCGCAACGGCGGGGGCATAAATATAAAACTTCAAAAACATGAAATTTAGTTTTCAAATAGACCATGTTGACCTCTGAATCTTTCTTGAAGGTTACTGATGCCTTCTGTTCAACATGAATTGTGTATGAGTCAAACTAATGTGTCCATATGGGGCTGTAATTAGTAACTGTAAATTCAGAAATTAATGTGTGCATTTATTACTGTGAATCACTGTCAATTGGTTAAAATGCAAGATCTTATTACTGCCATTGCAAAACTTTTTAGAAGGAAAATTACTATTGGAAATATGAATGAGAGTTTTTATTATTGCAATCCTGATACAGTCACATTTTTCACATTAATAAAAACATGGCATTATTTCTGAATTTACAATACCTAAGCCAAATGTTTTTTTAAGGTTTTGGGTCCCCTTGCTGAAATCTTTTGAAAATCAAGAAACTTCAATTGCAAAGAATCCTTTTTTACAGTAAATAATTTCTACAATATATGAATGTTGATAAGATAAACAGATGTGGCATGAGCTAGGCGAAATCTACATGTACTTACCAGAAGGTTGTTGAGGTGGACTTTTGTTGACATAAGGGTTCAGCAAACGTGATCTTTTCTTATCATAGCCTTTTCGTGTGATGTCACCTGAAAAATACATGAAAGCACATTCTAATTTCTTAAAATCTAGAAGTAATTCTTCCTTCATGATCATATAATTGTGTAATCTTAATTTTCCAGATGTTCAATTTAGTAACACTACATGTCAATTCATCTGCCAAATGTTATACATGTAAATTCAATTCTTACGGATGTTCGCTACTCTGTTTCAAAATAACAAGCTTTTTAAAAGACTGTTATAAATTGATAGTATATGAATAAAGAAGCTAAAAAAGCAGAAGAAAATGAAGGGTCAGTGTGCTTGTTTTCGAGATATAAGCCATTGAAAATTTGGCGGGAAATAATTCTCTCTAGATTTTTCATACATTTAACATTGGCACCTTTTTTTCTTTCAAAAATGTTGAAAACATAACAAGGATTTTATTAGATTTTCAATGATGACATTTTAAACTATTTGTAATCAAATTATGGAAAGAAAAGTAGGGGTTAGTGGGCAAAAGTTTTAATGGCACTACATGGATAAAACCATCTCTAGGATTCCGAATATTTGGGAAAAATTCAAAAACAAGAGGAGTGAACATCCTTAAGATCATGTAAGAGGAAAGAAATGGCATGTGTTTTGTTTTCCTTTTTTACAGCACTAGGTTGATACCACTGTTGGTGGACTATCTTAATGAATTTAAATATGATGATCAAATATGAAATTTGGGGATCAACCAATGACACAGTCCCCAACTACACAAAAACCCAAGACATGCATATGTAGAAGTCTTCAGGCTTAACCACAGGCCTGGCAGCCCAGGCTTGTAAAATTGCTCTCTGGCCTGTAAATTTCATCTCCACAGGCCAACAGAATCTAACTACAATTTTCCAAAATTTGAGCTCCGGGCCTGAAGATTTAAAAGTTTATTGTGAAGACTGAATTGTAGAGGTCAATAATCAGGTCATTATAAGGTCTTCAACTACTGACAAGCTAAGGTTGATTGATTCTTCATTGAGTAAAAGTTTATGTTTTTTGATTGATTGTTGGTTGTTAAAAAGTTTATGTTTTTTGATTGATTGATTGTTGCTAGCTTAATGTCCAGTGTTATGCTTTTGTATGATCTTAAAAAAAGAATTCATAATACCTCCTTTGAAAGCCTCTAAAATCATACTCAAGTTTTACTAGTATTAAGCCAAAGGATAAAATTTTTCTTCATTTTCTCTTATTACGCAACTATTACATGGGTAAAGGTACATTAAGGTTTAATATTACCAAATCAGGAAATGTTCAATATTTTGTAATACGGGGGAAAAAAGTCAGAATGTGAACTTTGGAAAAATCCTGAAAACTTTCATGCATCCAATTACAACATAAATGATTTTTTAATTATGTAATGCAGTCAATTTTTCAATGTTCTCTGTTTTTACATCACTAGACATATGTTAAAGAATAAATTTTAAAAAGGCTGACAAAGTATATATCTACAATACAAAGATGAAACACAGATAAAATGGTATCTTAACTACAAATCAGATTACTCATAAAGTCAAACAGGTTTTATATGATAAACGTAGCTATTTAAAAATACTGTTACACCTGATATCATCGTAGAAACAAGTTCTTTTTCTCGTATGAATAAATGAACGCATAGGACAAATACACATCATCATTAAAAATGAAATAAGTTCTTTTTCCCATATAAATAAATGAAGACATGGGGCAAATGTTGGCAGACAGCAGTCCAAAACACAAATAAACCAAAAAGATCTACCAGACATCTCCTAAAACAGGTCTACCAGACATCCCCTTATATCATGTCTAATACATGTACATGTATGTGTAAAACAGGTTTCCTTAGCTATTTAAAAATACTGTTACATCTGATTTCATCAAAGAAACACGCTCTTTCTCCCATATCATTAAAAGAAGGCACAGAATAAGGCGGCTATAAAGGCAATGCAAAATTAATTGTTTGTTACCCCTTACCCTACTGGGTCTGTTTAAATTGTTTTTACCATCGATATCTGGGTCAATTCATCCTTTTCTTTTTTTGCAGACGAAAAAAAAACTTTGCTTTGGTTTAAATTTGTATTAACAATTTTCAATGATGCTTTTTGAAATTGTCTGATATAAAATGTTGGACAGACAATTTCAAGAGCCTAACCCTAACCCCTTGTCAGCTTTTTAATCAAAACAAATATTTCCTTTCTTCTATTAAATATTATCTTATACATGTTTGTTTATATAAAATATTGTTACACCTAAAAAAAAAAAAAAAAAAGCTTCTAATCTAATCAAGAGACTAATGTTGTGCAGAAAGGAACCTAACAAAACAAATAAACAAAAGCAGATGATCTACTAGACATCTTCAATTTACTTTTTAATGCATGTAATGTAAACAAATTTTACTTAGCTACTTAAACCACTGTAGCACCTGATATGATCATAAAAACAAGTTCTTTTCATATGAATAAAGGCAACACAAGATAAATGTTAGGCAGACACAGTCCAGCAACACAAATTAACCAAAACAGACATCTCCAACTTACATGTATCATGAATATCTAATACATGTTTTTATTTAAAATATTTTTTCCACCTGATATCATTGAAGAAATAAGTTCTTTCGATATGAATAAAGGTGACAAGGGATAAATGTTCAGCAGACAGCAGTCCAGCACAACAACACAAAATAACCAAATCAGATAATTTTTTTATTCATAACTCGTACATGTAACTTTATGAAACCTGTATGATCAGATCAAACAGGTACAATATGGTCTGGGTTTTTCTCATTGTTGAAGGCTGTATGGTTGCCTATAATTGCTAACATCCACTTAATTTGAACTTTGGTAGATAGTTGTATCATTGGCAATTATACCACATCTCCTTATTTTTATATAACATTAAAAACATGTTAAAAATTAATGCATATTCATTGTTTTAAATAATACAAGAGTTCAGTTGAGGCAATTCTCTGCTCATGTATATGTTTAAACAAAAACAATGAAATATAAATTTATAAAACAAATGACCAATACACCTCAAACACAACATCACAAAATATATCATTGTACATGGAGATATCATCTATCATAAGAACAGACAACATCATTATAATTATGGAAGTCCTCATCAACATGATCAAACTAATGGTGTAACCACATTTCTTCCTGCCAGTCAAATGTATATTTGTCACAATATGTTATATATATGTTTGGAATTGTCTCCTAGATGGTGTCTTCAAACTGAGACATTCAGTACCCCACCCTTTCCATATATATATATTTTGAATATAAAAAAATTATACCCTACAGGCCTACATCTATATTAAGCTATTTCATGGACCCCGAGTAAAAATAGGTTTGTCATATATCTGATAGACATTTAAAAGGTTTAAATTACATCTTTTAAAAAAACTGACCATTACAGATACTTATTATTCAATCAGCAACCTAAATTTTTGGACTATTCATATACATGTATAATGAAGCTTGAAAAAGTTACCTATTGCAATTAAAGATTGATGTTCACATTTAATACTCCCCATCTCTCCGTCTCTCTATATTTTTTTCTCTCTACACAAAAACACACCTTTATAAATAGTACATTTGTCAATGATCAACCTTCAAGTATCAATAAGTCACAACATCCCTAAATAAATCACAGTATAAACTACTCCTAAACATCATTTGTCATATGAAAGATGACATTATTTTATAATTATAATAATCATCGCCATCTGTCAGATGGTATAGTATGGTAAAATATCATGTGATTTAACCACGTTTCCCTGTTAATCAAACACTCAAATATGTTAACATGCATGGGCTTGTCTCCTTCACGGATACATAGAGTGCAAAAATTAACAGATTAAAATTTTTCAATGTGCCCTGCCAGCATATTTTATTTTATTGATTTGTGGCTTTTATAAACCACATGATTGTATGTCAAAAAATGTGCATGTACAAAAAAAAAACATGTTTTATACAGTATTACGAAAATTAGCTTGATGGTGTTTAATTTAGGGTCCAGCTGAGGACCACCTCCGGGTGCGGGATTTTTTCTCGCTGCATTGAAGACCCATTGGTGGCTTTCGGCTGTTGTCTGTTCTTTGGTCGTGTTGTATCTTTGACATATTCCCCATTTCCATTCTCAATTTTATTTAATGCCACTTTCAGCTATTGACAGTATCGTGGCAGTCAGTTTTTATTGGTTGAAAAGCCAGAGTGCTCACAGAGAACAACTGACCTGCGGTAGGAAAACTGACAATCCTAATAATATTGCAATAAAAACAATTAAAGTCGAAAGTATAAAAATAACTCCATGACAAAAAGTTAAAAAAAAATTTAAACTTGGTCCACAATACGAAGAAAACTAAAGACTTTGCAATATGAACTCCAGTAAAAAACTTTGTTAATCCTGGATTCTTGCTTGTTAAAACATTCAAAACTGTTAAATACAAATTGCAGAACTTTTTTTTTATCATCCTTTGCATACAATTTATTGCAATATATATCACTGCCTGTAACCGAGTACGGCAGAAAGTGATTTTCCCCCGATTATAGTACTGATTTTCCTCGATTTTGTACTGATTTTTCATGATAAATTTTACACTATAGTTCTGTTATTCAATTTAAGTAGCTTGAACTAATCAATTGGTTAAAGATCATTTATTCTGACTGGTCAGCAGTCATTAGTAAGTGATATCCTGAGGTGGGATTGCTTTGAAGTTACATCATGACCTTCCTTATTCTTTGTTTTGATGTTGTTGTAGCTGATTTGAGTAAAAAAAAAAATGTTTTAGCCTGCTTTTAGAAAACTGGGAATATAAATTAGATTTTTTTTCATGAAATTTTGTTCAAATATAATAATCTGAAAAATGCAAGTAGAAATTTGGACAAAATAATCATTTAAATGGGAAAAAACTAGCAATTAAACTTGAGCTTTGGTGTACAGATTGTCCCCGATCAGCTTGTGTTGATTACAGATTTTCCCTGATACCTATACAGATTGTCCCCGATTTTGAAAAAGTTAATCCTTC